CCATCATTGCTGGTGACCAAAATAGGTTCGTACACCACTTAATCACTTTGGATTCATCACAGATCTAGAATAAGAGTTTTCTAGCTCCCTTAGGGAGACCTGCATGTCAAACAGTCCGGTTGTAAGTGCTCTTCCACTTATATGAAAACCATCCCCACCACGTGAAGCCAATGAATAGAGTTTGCCTAGCAGAGAGTGTAAACGCCTGTCCACATGAGCACATTTCGAGAGAGAGAACAAGGTATGCACACTCTAGGGTCATACCAAGTTGTGTATGGGGGAAAAGCATTATCCACTAGACCATGACGGTCACAATTGGAGAGTTCAAGAATTTATTTGTGTATTGTGTCTCATATTACTCCTCTCTCTGTCTCTCCCTTTCTGTCGGTTCTTTTCTTCACTATTTCTGTTCTGTTTGTTAGTTTTCTATTTCGAAAATTATAGTAAATGAGATCAATACTTATTTGCACGATAATACGAGCTTTTTTTATTTTTCGTGGTTTTCTGTCAACTACATGCAACCTAAACCATATGAAAATATAGATCACTAACTACCTTAGTAACTGTAACTGTTTTTTGTTCGTGTTTTTTTTTGTTTTTTTGTAAGTTTGGTTCTGTTGCGTAACACTCCATTTAATTTCGATTATCAATTAGTGAGTTGAACTCACTATCAAGTTTACAAATTTACTTAATTGTTTATCTACTTCATAATTTCCACTTGAACTTGAACTTTTCATTACATTATGTGTATAAATTCATTCTGATGTTCTATCTTGTAATCTGTTTGTAGTCTAACTGTGTTTCTAAGCAAAATCTGAATTCTGTCGCCTCTCTTATCTAATAATTATTCAAATGGTTAGCGCCTTTTTAACACTGAATAATTTTTCTACTTACATCATGGTATTGTTGTTGGTATTAGATGGTTGAAGGCAATTGACAGGAAGCCTTGGACCCAGGTTTCGTACTAGTTGGGACTCATCAGTAAGGCGTATCTGCAACCATGAGGGTGCTCATTTCCCTTCTGAGATTCGAATCTGTGTCGCCCACTGCTGCAGTCAATCAGAGACGTTACTACTGAGCTATTCAATCTCGCGGTTGACCTCCTGTAGGACTTTATTAGATACTTTTGATTGGACACTAGTCAGTAACTAGTGTAATGTGTATGTGTGTGTGTGTGTGTAGTCCTCTGTTTGGTGCAAACTGAATTCTATCAGTTAAGTTTGCAATGTGGCCACCGTCAAGCTAGGTGGCCTGTTATCACGGCACACTGTGTTGAAAAAATATTTTCAAACCTTTTGTAACTTGCCTTTTCTGCCTTCTTTGCATGATTATATACAGTTAACAGAAATCCGTGAAATTATAAAAAAAAACTCGTATTATTATCCTGCTGCAAATATATTCGTTCATTCTTTCTTTGTTCAAACTAATCAAGGGAACTGGTTGTATATGAAATCAATACTACATCTTTGTATAACACACTTTTTTGTGTTTCTACACATTCCATTTTTTTATTGGTTTTTATGATTTCATCATGAGCTGACATCAGTTAGAGAACCATTGGAAAACCAAGCTGGGAGTACTGGACAGCTATTTCGTCAGCGTAGTTTGGAACTCTTCAGCAGTACGCACCCACCAATAGGGTTCGAACCCAGGACGTTCTGGTTACAAGTCTAGCGAGCTCGTAGACCATTCATCAGCCACTGGGACCCGATCCATTTTTTTTTGTTTAAGTCACTTTTGTAATAGCTTAGTGAACAAATTGTTAAAATAGTTAATATCACCATTCTATTTCACCACTGATTGATTGATTTGAAGTTAAATCCTGGTCAGGTATTATTTATACTGGTGGCTTACAGACCTATTAGACGGTAAAATTCTAGAGTTTGTCGGGAATTTTTGCTGTAATACTTATGTGTATGTATTACTGTAATGTTTTAGCATTCACTTATAATTTCATTCATTCATGCATTCATTTAATTCCCTTATCTCATTTAAGTAAGTTATGAAGAATATCCTCGACAAAACTCATTGCTGCCAACAGCGTAAATAGTATTTAATAGTAAATATTAAGAAGGATTAATATGCATTAGAGTTTTATAGAAGCCTATTTCGTCGATAAACACTAGAGGCGTTTTGTTGTTGTTGAAAATTGAGTAACACTTCTGATATTGGTGTTAGTTTTTTGTCGATTTGTGATTACTTTGGGGGTTTGGTTAACATCACAAACCGGAGTAGAAGTCGATTGCCCTGGACGTCTGTTTTGTCATACTTTGGAACCTACTGGGAACTGAACCTAGGACTTTCAGATTACAAGGAGAACTCGTATATCGTTCAGTTACTGGAACAGAATGTAATGACCCATCACTTCTCACCTCTTCGAAATTACGGTACAGTGTGACCACAAGCCAATGCCATCGGCGAATATCCATACCAACGCCCAACTTGGTGGACTTCACTGGTCATGACTTCCTACTACTAAAATCCTGGGCAACTTCATCTTGTTGTGAGTCAGTAGTAAGTACTAATAACCTGAAGATCCTGAGTTCTATTCCTAATTGGGACCATGGATATGTTGGGTTGAAGAGTCCCAAACAAGGACGAAGCAGTTGTCCAGTAGTACTCCCAGATTTTCAATGGTTCTCTAACTGAAGTTCTTTCGCGATCAGAAATGAAATCAAACAAATCCCTTCAAAGCAGTACCTGACTAATTCTGACTGTTCCAATCCCCATGTCAGTTACACCTGGCTCGAATTTTTTTTTAAAGCGCAGGCTTCGCATTTGTGACTCATTATTTCAAGGGGATGAACATTTTCGAATATTTCCAGGTTTTATGTTATTTTGTTGCCCTTTATCTCAGATGAATGGAGATTAAGGTTTTGCTGCATTTAACTGATATTCAAGTCATCATGTATGCTAAAGGAAACTTATTTTGTTATGTCAAATATTTTTTGATTCAAAACTCTTTCTGTTCATTCAGTGTTACAATTGGAACTAATTACATGCTACTGTAACTATAGCGTACTATTAAACCAGTTCTTATGTTAAGTACTGCTGTAGCGGTAAAAGATAAGAGACTTGGTATTGGAATGTTTATTTGCAATTTGCTATCACTGAATATGGGGAAATTATGCCCACCGTATATGAAAATAGTCACTTCCGTGTTGTGCTACTTCTGGCCTTTCTTCATATTGTATTTCTTCCTTATCTTCCTTTCGTGTCTCCCATGTCTTGCTACAACACTGGTTCATTTGCCCTCTTTAATGACGTCAAATCTATCTCTCCACTATTTGCTATTTTTGTGTGCCGATGAACGTCCCTTCACATACTACTGATAAATATTGTCAGTAACACACGCTACACTGTGAGGTTTGCGTACTGTATCAATTCACTGCTGCTGATATAGAGTGTCACGAAATACTGACTTTGTTCTTTTTTCTACACACCCATATATATATATATATATATATATATATATATATATATATTCGTTTCTGTTTGTTACTATATATATTAATTAAATATTTCCTTTTATAGTTGATTTGGACAGTCAAACATCTTGTGAATATCCATCGACTACTGTGTCTTATGAATTTGTTTGCCCTCAGTGTGATCGTGGTTTCGCCACTAATCAAGCATGCAGGGTAATTTAATCATAAATTATTTTTAAATTATTTGTTTCAAAATATTGTTAACTTGAAAATGGGATTGTCTGTTGGTCTTTAGTAAGTGTTTTATTATGAGAAACTAACTTGAAGTTAGACCTTTAGTGTTATTATTCTTTGTATCATTCATTTAGTTTGCATACATCGAGTAGTAGATGTGATATCCAGCTGGCTATCAACCAAAGGGCATGTGTACTGCTCATCAGTCCGCTCCGTCCTCCTTTATGCCTGTGATACCTGGCCTTTGAGAGTGGAGGACATGAAAAAGGCTAGCTGTTTTTGATCATAGGTGCCTGCGTTCTATGTAAAGTGGTGTAATAAGGTGAGCAATATTGAGGTAGGGCGCTGAGTGCTACGTAAGGAGGGAATATCATCTGATGAGGTTGTGAAGTTACACATATTGTGATGGCTAAGACATATGTTACGCATGTTTAGCCTAGTCATCGCCTTCCTCAACCTACAGGCAATGTTAGCTGATATAGGATGGATCAGGTTGGAAAGGAGAAAGCAAGTGGTGGTCAAACCAAAACATGGCTTCATCATTCAATGAAATCCACAACAGTTAGTTTAAGCCAGCCAGCCACGTAAAAAGGTGTAGACTTCCTAACTGGTTGGGGTCCTCGGGACGGTAAAAACCAATGGAGGCTGGAGACAATTGGTGGCATGGCTCAATATCCTTGCTGACAATGGATGGCGCAGATGTATCCACTACTTATGACTCATAATGTCCAATAAAACTATGTTCTTATATATTACTATTCTTCTTGCCTTGTATCTCTGTTTTGAATCTCTTTTTACTTTCTTCTCTTTCTTTGTGTGCTGAGTGAAGTGTGGCAACTCGAACTGCTGCACATCGGTGCAAAGTTCTATGTTGAAACCAGACAGACAGACAGACATCGAATAGTGGATTCACATAATGAAGCTATTAACAGTTAAATTACATTTCATAGTTCTTGATACAGTATATAAATTTGAGCATTTTCAAGTCATAGTGTTATTCACGTATTGGTTTGCAGGGATTTTATTGGTTTCTGGATTTCATCATGAAATGACATCGTTTTTTTGAGGAATCATTGGAAAGCCAACTAGGGAGTACTGGGCAGCTGTTTCGTCCTGGGTTCGAACGTCAGTGGGTGCTTTCTGATAAGGAGTCCTAAACTAGGATGAAACAGCTGTCCAATACTCCCTGCTTGGTTTTCCAGTGGTCCTTTAACCGACGTCAGTTAATGATGAAGTCCTCATACTGTTATTATTATTATTATTGTGGCTATCAAAACCGATGTGTTACGGTTTAAACACTGGAAACCAATCTTTGCGTTCTGCTGTATTGTATAACAGGTAATCAGAACTTCCTTGAGTTGCTCACAGTCACAAAATGTTTCAACGACAACAAAAGGACAGTTACTTTTGTTAAAATCTGTGGAACTATTCAACAATTATAACATAGAAGAGAAAAGGTGTTCAGCTAAGGGTTACTCTTTTTGGCGATTTCATTCTCAAGCTGTTCAACTGCTTTTTTAACCAATGTTCATCCCCTTTGGATCAATATTTTCAGCGATATAGCCTATTGTTTCAGTTAGTGGAATGTTTATCTTTGAATGGTAATGGCAATTCACATGTTAAAACCTTAAACTCTGCATATAAAAGAAGTTTGCTCAGTCATTACATCTGTAGTGGACCAGACCTATCTTAACACCGGAAGCGTAATTTTTATTTCGTTTTCTTTATTTTGCTTCTTTGTTTCTTAATTGTATAATATTTTGTTCCCCTATCGTGTTTAAATCTCTTCCCCTATATAAAGGGGTATTATATTACCAATGTTATTAATTTGATTTTTGTTCAATTTTAATTTTAGTTGAGCTCTACTCAACCGCGTCAATTAAATTACATCACTCAACTTGTTAATGTAGTCTTATTTTCTTTTCTACCCGATTAACACTTTTGTGCATCGGTGGCACAGTGGTTAGCACTCTCACCGACCATGCACATGTGCCGGAGTTCGATCCCCTGCCAAAAATGGCAATCAAGAAGGCGAGTCTAAATGTATGATGCTATATACAACTGACTGATTGACATCAGAGTAGTCGACTACCACTCATATTAACCAATAAATGCCAAATAGCGAATAAATTTGCCAATTGAGAATTCGACTTAACGTATTATCAGTTAGGACTTCAGGTGAACATAGAGAAAACAGAGGTGATGAAGATTTCTGGCCAACAGAAATAGCAACAGACAACAATCAGCATAAATGGGAGGAACTCGAAAGAAACAACCTCCTTTACCTACCCACCTGGGAAGCATCGTTTCAGCTACAAGTGTACGGAACTGATGAGGATATCAATTCGGGGATAGAGAAAGCAAGGCAAGCTGTCGTCACTCTCAAGTTTGCGTGGAGATCAACAGCACTCAGCATCAAAAATAAAATCCGGATTTTCAACTCCAATGTGAAGTCAGTGTTACTTACTATACGGATCAGAGACTTGGCGCGTCATAAAGAGCACATCAAACAAACTACGGACCTTCATCAACAGCTGTCTTTGCTCTATACTACTCAAGATCAGATGTCCGGCTAGAAAAGATTAGCAATAGGGACCTCTGGAAGCGAGTCAACCAGAAACCGATTGTGCAACAGATATGCAGGAATAAATGGAGGTGGATTGGATTGGTCATACTCTGAGAAAACAAACCATCAAGTGACATCACACGCCATGCCATGGCTCAAGTGGAACCCGAATGTGAAGCCGCGAGTTGGTCGTCAGTGCGAGGATGACATGGATGAGGTTATGTGAAGAGCAGATGAAAGCATATGGGCACACGTGTAGCCAGGTGAAAATGTTGGCAAGAGAATCGAACGCATTGGAGACGGTTGGCTGAAGCCCTATGTTCCTCTAGGAATTAAAGGAAACAATAATAATAATATTATTATTACCGGTTCGCCAAAATAGCCAGTCCGAATTCGGACGGCTTGAACAGATAATTCTATTTTCTTGAGCGCTGAGTCAAAACGTGTACACTGCGGATAAGCTTATCCTTAAACGAATGAAATAGTCGATTGGGCTAGCAGGAAATACAAGCTTGTTTGTTAATATTTATTATTTATTGGAGGGTGTTTCTGCTTAGATCGCCAGACCCAAGAAATGCTTTTGAGGTGTAGTTGAAGATTAGTTTGATTTTTTTACTTTTGCGATATATTTCCCTATTGTGTGTTGTGATGTCATATTGTTTTAGAGATGTACAATAATTTTGATTTGATATAGCTTGTCTTTTGAAGAAAACTTAAATTATTATTCCTTTGTTCTTTTGCTCTATTACAGATACACGCTAGAGTTCACAAACAAAGTGGTAAGGGCGAAAAAGCAACTTTGTGTATTCATTATCTTTTTATAATTTATAAATTTAGTAGACATTAATCATTTGTGTGAATATATATTTTAGTGTTGGGTTTGCAGGCCGATGGATTGATTTCCACTTGATTTTATTATGTAACAACGTTGGTTGGAGAACCGTTGAAAACCAGTGGTGATTGGTTTGTTGTGAAATATACATGCGGCGTGTGCTATACAGATACATATTGATAGGATGCAGCCAAAGATGTTTTTTTATTTCCCTCACGTTGCCAGTGAAACATAGGGCTTCAGGCTTCAGGCTTGAAGTTTCTGTAGCAGTGTTTATTTTTACAGGATGGGGTTGCTAGCCTCATGCCCAACCTTCCCTCTTACCAATCTTATTACTAAGTAAGTGAGGTAAAGGAGTGCATCGGTGGCCGGGGATCGAACCCCGAACCATGTGCATGATCGGCGAGCATGCTAACCGATGTGCCACTGACGTAGCCAAAGATTGATATCAACATTTTAAGCCAATGGCTGTAGAGGAAAGAAGAAGTGTCTATTCCTCAAATCTGGATTCAGTTTACGTTGTGGGTATGAAATAATCTCATTGAACAGCTTGTTTAATCTTGAGCTAATTGCCATCCCATCAAAACAATTTATTCTCCTGTAACCTGGTAGAACTTTAATATGGCTAAGAATGTATAAATTTGATGCGTTTTTCCTTAATTTAAATTTCTATTTTGAGAGTTGATCACAGATTGATATCGGTTAGAGAACCATTGCAAACCAGCACTGGAGTACTGGACAGCTGTTTCATCCTGATGGTTGGGAGCCATCAGCAGTACGCACCCACCGCCACGATTCGAACCCAGGACCTCCTGGTTACAAGGCGAGGTCGTATACCATTCAGCCACTGAGACCCGGTTTAGTGGCCCAAGTTATCTCAAGCAGATAGTCTATTGTGGTCTAGATATTTTTGTTATTCAGAAAATCGACTTCAGTGATACTCTATCTTAGAATGTTTTTCATTCCACTAGTTCTGTTAAGAGCTGGATCACTTTTGAAAACTAAGCAGTGTCAATAGGAGATGCGACTCAATGGTGGTGGTGGTGGTCTGTGCTCTTGACTTCCAACCACATTGACCACAGGTTCGAACCACACTCTTACCTATCGAGGTTTAGGTAGCCAGATAATATCAAAAACACTCACACAACAGTGTAACAGTAGAACACAGGAGTATTTGGCAACGGGAAATACTTATGACCAACTCGATGTTGGGATATAAGGCAAAATATATCTATCATATCGAAGCTACAATTCGCATATATCTTTGGTATTGTGCTTCTTTTGCCTTCCCTACTGTCCTTCTTTGTCTTCCTTTCATCATGTTTTCCATGCTTGTGTCACGAGCATCGTTCATTTCTTCTCGTCACTGTTAAATCCATCTCACCTCTATTCGATATTCTTGAAGGTGATATACATATTTATGCCTGTATTTATATACTACTTATAAATCCTATCAGTAGCAAATGTCACAACAGGTGTGTGACTCACTCCCAACTGCACTGAATTGCGAGTGGTGTCAAATATTCCTACCTGGAAATTTCTTAGAAGTACTGTTAGAACGTGAAAAGATATATTATGACAGTGTTTCTCATGTGATCTGTAAACCAGACATTCAATCCTATCATAGTTTAAAAGTCACTTCGTTGGATCTTTATTGCCTCATCCTAACTATTTATTTATTATTATTAATGTAAAATAATTATATAATTAGCTGTAATTTCTAACAGTATCACCTTTTACATGGGAAAAGTTAATCTCAAATTTCCCATCTGGTTTTATGTGTTGTCTTCCTCCCCCTATGTTCTAGCAAAACAAAGCATATTCTTGTTCCCTTGGGTTCCAAGTAGAACATATAGCTTCAACAGCATATATCTGTTTCCTCTCTTCGTCTTCTACAGTCCTTTTCAGCTGGCTCCACGAGTGCGCACAAGCTTTCGTTTCCTTCAAGACCCAAGCTCAGCTCGTCGTTTCCCATTTAGGTTCCAGCAAATGGCGTATCTCCTGATGTTGTTACTCAATCAATGGCCTCCCCAACAATTCATCTCCATTTTCTTAGCCATATTTGTTGGGCGACAGGTTGATAAGTTAGTTGGTTGGTTACCCGCTGGAATTCCTTGTGGCTAATCAGTCTCTTCTGTCCAGCCATCTGATCCTTAGTATGAAGCTAGTGATATCAGTTGGTAATGTGAAAGTTCGTAATTTATTGCAGATGCGTTACATAACGCGCACGCCACGTCTCCAAAGCCATATGAGAAGCGCTGACTAACATGACATTCGTGTTGAAAATCCAAATCTTGCTCCTTATGCTAGGTGCAGCCGATTGATTCCAGATTGACGAAGGCGCCTATTATTTTGCTTTTCAGATCCTGACTACCTTTGAAATTATTATCCATGCTATATCTTCTAGTTGAAGAAAAGATACTTCCTTGATAAGTGAAAGAGGAGACCTCCATTAGATTTCTCCCGTTGGTACTGAGTATCATCATTCATCACTTATAGTCTCATCTATATTTTACTTGAATTTCTGTGAGAAAAGTTGTGAATATTAATTTCTTATTGTTTGTCAATGTATGCATACTGTTTCGGGGAAAATGCTCAAAATAAAAAAAAAAAACAATTTTTTCAGCGCCATGTGCCTTTCAATCATTAACTGACTGGCTGACTGACTGTTATCCAATTCATAGTACAATGTGTCCTCTAAGGGATACTAATTATCTGTCGGAAATGTTTTTATTGATAAATAGATATGTTCTTGTAATCACTAAGCAAGTATAAATTTTTAAAAGCTTAACAGTCTTTTATTCAGATAGATTCACCTGGTAATGTATTATTACTGACATTGACATAATAATTTGCTTTTACGAGTTGATCACGGATTGATATCAGTTAGAGAACCATTGAAAACCAGCACTGGAGTACTGGACAGCCAGCTGTTTCGTTAGCCTAGTTTGGGAATCATCGGCAGTACGCACCCACCACCACGGTTCGAGCCCAGTAGAAGTTAGAATTCATGGGTCATTAAAATAGAGTCCCAGTGGGACATCTATCCTCACACGTGACATCTGGATGTGGACCTCACTGGTCACAACTTTTCACTTGAACTGCAGGAAACCCTTACACACCAAACTATAGAAAATTAATCTGGTGCTTGCTAATAACTTGCAACACAACGGAGTTTCCTGGAATTCTAGTGAGAAGTCGTGATCAGTGAGGTCCATCCAGACGTCAGGTGTGAGGATGGATGTCCCACCGACGACATTGGTTGGGGTCGCGCTAAATCTGTCTGTCTGTATTCAACATAGAACTTGGCATAGAAGTGCAGCAGTTCGAGTTGCCACCTTCCAAATAGCACACAGAGGTAGACAAGAAGATGAGTGGAGAGAATCAATACAGTCTGACAAGTATAAGAGTGAAACAGAATGGGTAATTGTAGAAAGGAATATGAAAGATTACAGAGATTGAATACATCTGCGCCATTGACAACGATTTTGAGCCATGTCACCTATTGTCTCCAGCCATTGATTCCTATAGTCAGTCCCGAGGGCCCCAACCCGGAAGTCTGCATCTCCTACCCTACCTGACTCAGTTTAACTGTCAAGGATTTCATGGATTGATGCCATGTTTTTGTTTGGCCACCACTGGCTCTTTTCCAACCTGCACCTATATCAGCTAGTAATACCCTTTGGGGGAGGCGATGGTTAGGCATGCGCAGCACGTGACCTAGCCATCTTAGTCTATGTAACTTTATAGCTTCGTCGATTGATTTTCCCTCTTTGCCCAACACTCTACGCCTAACGTCAACATTACTTATCTTGTGAAACCACCTAACGTGAGACAGAGATCGCAGACATCTATGATCGAAAGCAGTCAACCTTTTCATGTCTTCAACGCGTATTGGCCATGTTTCAGAGCCATAGAGAAGGACGGAGCGAACTGCTGAGCAGTACACACGTCCCTTGGTTGATAGCCGGATGTCACGCCTACGCCAGAGATGGTGTAAGTCAGCGAAAGCAGCTCGAGCTTTTTGGATCCGTGCTGAGATTTCATCGCCAATCAGTCCGTTGGTGCTAATACAACTTCCCAAATAGGTGAAGTGGTCAACATGTTATATCACTTCACTCCCTATCACTAAGTTAGGAGTTGACGTGGTCCAGTCCTGTAGCAGCATCTTACATTTTGTAGGGGCGAATCGCATGCCAAACATACGGAGATTGCTGCTCAAGGTGTTCAGAAGACTCTGCATTTTGTCAGAATCCTCCCCTAACAGGACTGTGTCATCTGCATATTCTAAGTCCATTAGATTATTCCCTGGTAACAAGTCGATTCCTAAGTCACTACGTTCAGTTAAGGATACTTCCATTAGCATATCTATGATGAAGTTAAACAGAAATGGGGAAAGTGGACATCCCTGTCGGACACCACTGGTTGTTACCAATTCAGATGACAATCCCCCATAAGCCCTTACACGACTACGTGAGTTTGAATAGAGTGCCTTGATTAGTGCAATGTACTTTCTTGGCACTCCCTTCACAGTCAGACATTGCCATAGTACTTTTCGGTCCACGGAGTCGAAGGCCGCCTTCAAGTCAAGAAATATGGCAATTGTTGGACGCCGAAAAGTGTGTCTATGTTCGAGAATCTGTCGAAGAGTGAAGATATGATCTATGCACCCTCTACCTGGTCTAAAGCCTCCTTGATTTTCCCTTGTCTTTTCCTCCCGAGTTCTGCTTAGTCTATGCATGATTACTGAGCCTAGGATTTTAGAGACTATGTTCGTTAGGCTGATCCACCTATGATTATCACACGAGGACTTGTTTCCCTTCTTGAATATCGGTATAATGAGTGACTTACCCCAGTCTGATGGCACTGTCTCTGATTCCCAGACTTTGCCCGGTACCTCAGTTAATCTACAAACTAGTATGTCACCCCCATATTTAAACACCTCCGGAATAATTCCGTCGGGTCCTGCCGCTTTGCCTCGTTTCAAATTACTGATAGCTTTTGTGACCTCACCTACAGACGGCGGACCAGTGTCTATATCCCATTCGGGTGTGGGGTGGATGTTGGGGAGGTTCAGTGTGGCTGTAGGCAAGTTAAATTGTCCTCAAAGTGTTCTTTCCAGCGTTCAAGGCGTCTATCCTGAGAGCTAATTAAGGTTTGAAACGAGGCAAAGCGGCAGGACCCGACGGAATTATTCCGGAGGTGTTTATATATGGGGTGACATACTAGTTTGTAGATTAACTGAGGTACTAGGCAAAGTCTGGGAATCAGAGACAGTACCATCAGACTGGGGTAAGTCACTCATTATACCGATATTCAAGAAGGGAAACAAGTCCTCGTGTGATAATCACAGGGGGATCAGCCTAACGAACATAGTCTCTAAAATCCTAGGCTCAGTAATCATGCATAGACTAAGCAGAACTCGGGAGGAACAGACAAGGGAAAATCAAGCAGGCTTTAGACCAGGTAGAGGGTGCATAGATCATATCTTCACTCTTCGACAGATTCTAGAACATAGACACACCTTTCGGCGTCCAACAATTGTCATATTTCTTGACTTGAAGGCGGCCTTCGACTCCGTGGACCGAAAAGTACTATGGCAATGTCTGACTGTGAAGGGAGTGCCAAGAAAGTACATTGCACTAATCAAGGCACTCTATTCAAACTCACGTAGTCGTGTAAGGGCTTATGGGGGATTGTCATCTGAATTGGTAACAACCAGTGGTGTCCGACAGGGATGCCCACTTTCCCCATTTCTGTTTAACTTCATCATAGATATGCTAATGGAAGTATCCTTAACTGAACGTAGTGACTTAGGAATAGACTTGTTACCAGGGAATAATCTAATGGACTTAGAATATGCAGATGACACAGTCCTGTTAGGGGAGGATTCTGACAAAATGCAGAGTCTTCTGAACACCTTGAGCAGCAATCTCCGTATGTTTGGCATGCGATTCGCCCCTACAAAATGTAAGATGCTGCTACAGGACTGGACCACGTCAACTCCTAACTTAGTGATAGGGAGTGAAGTGATATAACATGTTGACCACTTCACCTATTTGGGAAGTTGTATTAGCACCAACGGACTGATTGGCGATAAAATCTCAGCACGAATCCAAAAAGCTCGAGCTGCTTTCGCTGACTTACACCATCTCTGGCGTAGGCGTGACACCCGGCTATCAACTAAGGGACGTGTGTACTGCTCAGCAGTTCGCTCTGTCCTTCTCTATGGCTCTGAAACATGGCCAATACGCGTTGAAGACATGAAGAGGTTGACTGCTTTCGATCATAGATGTCTGCGATCTCTGTCTCACGTTAGGTGTTTTCACAAGATAAGTAATGTTGACGTTAGGCGTAGAGTGTTGGGCAAAGAGGGAAAATCAATCGACGAAGCTATAAAGTTACATAGACTAAGATGGCTAGGTCACGTGCTGCGCATGCCTAACCACCGCCTCCCCCGACGGGCATTGTTAGCTGATATAGGTTCAGGTTGGAAAAGAGCCAGTGGTGGCCAAACAAAAACATGGCATCAATCCATGAAATCCTTGACAGTTAAACTGAGTCAGGTAGGGAGATGCAGACTTCCGGGTTGGGGCCCTCGGGACTGTAGGAATCAATGGCTGGAGACAATAGGTGACATGGCTCAAAATCGTTGTCAATGGCACAGATGTATTCAATCTCTGTAATCTTTCATATTCCTTTCTACAATTACCCATTCTGTTTCACTCCTATATTTGTCAAACTCTATTAATTCTCTCCACTCATCTTCTTGTCTACCTCTGTGTGCTATTTGGAAGGTGGCAACTCGAACTGCTGCACTTCTATGCCAAGTTCTATGTTGAATCCAGACAGACAGAGACAGCTAATTAAGGAGCCATTTTTCTCAGAAATAGTCTCGCTTATGATTTGCCTTCTCCCACCCGTTTCCCTGATGAGTCTTAAGAGTTGCCTAGTGTTGCCTATCGCCGATGCTTTTTGCATCTCTTTTGCCTTTGTTAGCCACCACCGCGCTAAATCACACATTGGTAGAAGTTAGAATTCATGGAGTGGCCATTGAATCATCGGGTCCCAGTGGCTGAATAGTATACGAGCTTGCTTGCCTTGTAACCGGAATGTGCTGGGTTCGAACCGTGGCTGTGGGTGCGTACTCCCGATGATTCCCAAACTAGGCTGACGAAACAGTTGTTCAGTACTCGCCGTTTTTCACTGGTTCTCTAACTGATATCAATCCGTGATCAACTTGGAAAAAACAAAACTAACCCTTACAAACCAAACACTAGAAAATAATAATTTGTGTTGAAGTATGTGTGTGTGAGTTAACCTTTCATAAACTTTAATTTACGAAAGGACAAAACAGAATATTTTCTATTCTTTCACATTTAGGCAAAAAGTCTGCTCGTAATACAAATGAACAAGCTGATCGTAAAGAAAGTTCAATTGAATCACGATTCCGTACAATCTTGGTGAGTACTTTCTGACGTGTTATATGCATATAAATTGTGCAACTATTCATAATAATAATACCAATAATAATAATAACAATAAGTTTATTAATAATAAAGATGAAAATCGAGTGATTTGTGGTACAAAGAATACTGAGTTATGTATGCTTTGTCTTCAACAATTCGAATTACTGACATAAAATTACATGAAGTCACTTTAGTTTTCACAATTAGACCTGATTTTCGTAGACTTTTTCCTTTCCAAAAACTTGAAAATACATGATTCAAAAATCTCATTATTTGATTTGGATAATTTAGTAGATGGTGATGAGCAGTAGATCGCAAGATGCGCATTTTTTCCTAATTAGGATTCTTTATTTGGGTGTACTTGCACTCCCTAGTGAGTGATGACGGTCCCACCGAGACTTGGACCAATTGGGCTACGAGAGCCAACACTTGTGTAGTCGGCAGCAGTTGTCGTTTTTTTTATAATTGAATTTTCATTTTCGTGTTAATTGAACCGATTGAAGTGTTCTCAAACGTTGTTCACATGTCGGTTCTTGGTATGGATGCTTCAGCAATATCTGAGGATTAACTCAAAGCAATTTATCATTATTATTATTCCCTTGCGTTACGAGTGCATCATACGGCTTCAACAACACATCTCCACTTTCTCCTATTTTCTGCCATCCCCTTCACCTAAGTCAATGATTGCCTATAATCTCTCGTCTCTGTGACACACGATCTCCTCCTTGTCATCCTCACACCGTCGACTCACTCGTCGCTTCCAGTTTGGATTCCATGCGAACAATGGCCTGCATTGCGCATAATGTCATTTGATGGTCTCCTCAATGTGTATGCCCAATCGATCTCTTTTTTTCTCTTACATATTTGTTGAGTAATCGGCTCTCGCCTGTCGGTTTATTGCCAGCCAGGGTTTCTTGTTGCTAATTCTTTCTTTCTGGCGAGTCATTTGATTTTCAGTATGTGGAGAGCAAATAAAGGCAGCTGTTGATAAGTCTTCAATAGGCTGTTGGAAATCCTTTTCGTGACTCACACGTGGTGCAAGTTTCTGACCCGTATAGAAGAACTGACTGACTGACTTCACATTTGTGTTGAAAATCTGAATCTTGTTCCTTATGCTGAGTGGGAGTAGGAGATTTCCAAACTGGTTTCAAGTCGACGAAGGCGTATCTTGCCTTTCCAACTCTGGCTAACTTTGACATCTTCATCTATTCTGTCGCATGTAGTTAAAACGATGCTTCCTAGTTTTATTTTTTTGTTGTTGTTGATTACAGCTTGATTCCACACCGTATTTTTGGTACAGGTATGGAACTTTCAGCATGTGATATCGGTAGCCCAAATTTCGCAGGCCGACCATAGATATCAAGTGTGCGTCGGCAGGGGATCGAACCTCGGAGTATGTGCATGGTCGGCCAGAGTCCTAACCACTGTGCCACCGACGCACAGAAGAAACCATTATATATTAAGTTACAGTATAAGGGGGACTTCTCTTGCGATAAGCATCCACCTCATGTGCATCAAAGATACATTGAATAAAGAATTTGCATCCTTCAGAGAGGCATTCTGATCAATGATGCGTATCCAACCTGCTTCATCAATAAACATCTGAAGAGAAGGACTGATACTCCTCAAAGCCCGGAGGTGCTGGAAAAAACAGCTAATTGAAAACCTTAAATTCAAAGGAGATACAAGCCATATTCTCTGCTGCATCTGACTTGAGTGTTTGTGAAACCTGTTCCAAAAACTAGCCACTTTACCCAGAAAACCTGTGTTTATTATTTCCTAGTTGGTAAGCTGGATAATTTTGTCACATCTGTGTGTATTTATTGAGTCAACTTCTGTTGTGGAAACAGTTTTGTTAGAATTACTACTAGATAATGACTTAGCCAACGTGTTACTGAATATTTCCCCTAGGTGGTTCGTTACAGGATAAACAAATCCCATCCGAAATTCCGTTTTTTTGCATTTAGTTAATAGGAGTCATTCACTGAAAAACAACAACACAAAAGCATTCATGGTGATTCATTTCATCCCATTGAATCTTTCCAATGGATTGCGTATTTTGTCTTCTGCATAGCATAGCTGAGGCGATAGACGTTCAAGCTACTATGCACTCCAAAGAAGTTCGTGTAGCCATTACCTCTTTCTCGGCCAGTTAAGACGTAACCAACCGATGATATCATCAACACCCCTGATATATATATATTTTTATTGTCTTGCTTGTCAACCCTTAATCTTATTGCACCTTCATTACTTCCTTCCTTTACAATCCGGCATTACGTAATCTATTTGTTTTTCTTCACCATTATCTATTACGTCTATTATCTAAACATTTGTTTGTTGAATTATGCCCTTTTTAATTATTCTTGTTACCGAAAGTCGCTCCAAATTTCCCTTTGTCGCTGATGTTACTATGACCACACCTGCTGGAAAATCACCATGATTGGTTTATATTCACTGTTTTTTGTAAGGTTATGTCTATCAAAGTTTGATGAGATCTAAAATGAAGTTTGTATCTTCCAACTGATGAGTTCCGAATAGGACGAAATGCACATCCTGGATTCCACTGCTAGTCATCATCCACAAATTGAAGATTATATCGTTCGCTTACATGTGTACATTAAATAATTTCTTCTGCAATTCCTATTACATACTGAATCATTTATAGGATGAAACACGTTTTTCTTTATTATGTACAGCGTCTTTTCGTTGTATCTGTGAAAGCATCAATACTTTCTGTGTGATAGTATTACACTTATTTATTATATATTATTATTACCTTGGGTTCCTAGCGGAACATAGGGCTTCAACTGCACGTCTCCACTTGCTTCTGTCTTCCTTCTGCTGTACTTTTCACCTGCATCCATGTTAATCCATACTCTTTCAACTCCTCTTCACACGATCTCTTTCATGTCACCCTTGCACTGAAGACCCACTCGCCACTTCCCTTTCGGCCTGGTTCCACTCGAGCAATGGCCTGACGCGCGCGCGATGTCACCCAGCGGTCTAATCACCGAATGTCCAATCCATCTCCACTTTCTCCTGCATATTTGTTGTTGTTGGGCGATTGGTTTGTTCTTGTTTTGTTTGTTCCCATAGTTTCTTGTTGGTGACTCTTTCCGGCCCAGCCATCTGATCTTCAGTATAGATCCAGCGAAGACAGTTGTTGATAAAGGTAACGTTTGCAACAGGCTGTCGGAAATATTCTTTGTGACCTGCTCCCCAAGTTTCTGATTCGTATAGAAGAGCTGACTGACTTGACGTTTGTATTGAAAATCCGACCGAATTTTGTTGATGCTGGGTGAGTGACGAAGATTTCCAGATTGGTTTCAGGTTGATGAATGTGTTTCTCGCCTTCCCGAATCTCGCTCGATTTGACATCCTCGTCCGTTCCTACTGCCTGTAGTTGAGTGAATGAAGTAACCTCTTTCAAATCCCTCCTGTGGATGGTGATTGACGCTGGATGTTGCAGCTGTTGTTGTTGCTTGGTTATTTTCATAACTTCCATCTTGTTCACTATGTTCACTTGGAGTCCTGTCTTCTCTGGCTGCTTCTTCGACCAGTTTGTCGATCGGTTTTCGCTTGTAAGTCTTCGATTTTGTGTGACATCAAACATCATATCATCCACACGCGAAATCCAGATCTTCTAGGTTCTTCACGTCGGTCAAGGATATCCATGTCTTCTCGTTTCCCACTGTCTGACGCATAATCCAGTCAGTCCACCACAATTAGGAATATCATTGGTGATAATAAGCACCCTTGTCTGACTCATGTGTTTACTTCAAACGCCTCGCTGAGTTTTCCGTTGTGGACCACTTGACATGTGCCGTTGTCGTATAGCTATTGAATAAGGTTGATGAATATTTGGTGTACGCCGTAGTACTCGAGTAGTTTCCAAATTACTTCGCGGTCAACACTGTCGAAGGCCTTCAAAGTCTGTAAAGTTGAGGTAGAAGTTTGATTGCCATTCCATGCTTTGTTCTGTGATGATGATGCGTAGAGTTGCAATTTGGTCAGTACATGATTTGCCTTTCCTGAATCCAGCTTGTTCTGGTCGGAGTTCTGCATCCAGTGCGTCCTTTATTCTCTCCAGGATGATGCGACTCAGGATTTTACTTGGCATCGATAGCATCCAGTTCTTGCATATTCCTGAGTCGCCCTTCTTTGGTAGTTTCACGAGGTAACCTTTCCTCCAGTCAGTAGGCACCTTTCCCTCCTTCCAGACCTTTTGCAATAATGGAGTCAGCATGTCTGCTGTCGTCTCTGGGTCCGCTTTCAGTGCTTCATGGGGTATTCCATCTGGTCCGGCTGCTTTTCAAGCTTTCAGAAGCTTGATTGCGTTCAAGACTTCAGCTCTCGTTGGAGGATTGGTGTCAACTTGCAGTTGTGTGCGCGCTGTTGTTGGTATTTCTGGACGGGTTGCAGGTGATGGTCGGTTCAAGAGTCCTTTGAAGTGATCCGCCCATTGTTTAATCTGTTTTTCTTCCTTGGTAATTGGGTTCCCTTGGCTGTCTTTTATAGGTTTCGCTTGTGTTGATCTCTTCCTGGATAGAGATTTGGTTATCTGATATAGTGTCCTCAGGTCCCTTTTGCCTGCTGCCTTCTCAGCTTCAGTGGCGAGGTTGTCGTAGAATCGTCTTTTGTCCTTCCTAGCACTCTTCTTCACTTCTTTGTCCAGTGCTTTATAAGTTGAGCTCATCGTCTCTTTCTCCTGTCCGTCCTTGCATTGAATCATTTTCTCTTTCACCATTCTCCTCTCTTCTATTAGTTTCCAAGTGTCCGTTGAGAGCCATTCCTTGTCTTGTCTCTTCTTTCTTCCTAGAACCGTTGAACACGTTTCGTTGAGAATCGCCTTCAGAGACTTCCAATGTTCTTCCACGCATGATTCTTCAGCGCTGTCGCGTAGTGTTTCCTGCTTTGCTCTGACAGTTGCAGTGGAAGTGTCTTTTGTGGTTGTGTCCTTCAGTTTCTGAGTGTTGAACTTGCATTGTGGCCTATCTCCAGCTATCTTCGAGGCTTTTAGTTTCACCTTGAAAGTCCCTTCTACTAGATAGTGGTCTGAACCCACATCTGCTCCTCTCCTCGACCTTGTGTCCAGTAGGCTCCGTCTCCACTTTCTTGAAATTGAGATGAAGTCTATTTGGTTTTTGATGTGTCCATTTGGTGAAATCCATGTCGTCTTGTGTATATCCTTGTGTTTGAACACACTGCTGCCAATCACCAAATCATTGAAGGCGCAGAAGTCTGAGAAGAGTTCACCATTGTCGTTCATTTCACCGAGGGCCTCGTGACCCATGGTGAGTTCTCTTCCTGTGTTGTCTCCTCCCAGCTTCGCATTCATGTCATCCATCAGGATTTTGATATCGCCATTTGGGACGTTGTCCATTATTGTTTGTAGTTGTCTGTAGAACGCCTCCTTCTTCTCTTGTTCTGAGACGTTTGTAGGCGCATAGCATTGAATGACTGTAACTTTCCTTCCTTTTGAGTTGAACCTGGCTGTCATTATCCTGGAGGAGATTGGTTCCCACTGCATGAGAGCTTTGGTTGCTGTTGGTGACATCATGATGGCCACTCCCTCGGTGTGCTCGTGATTGTCCTCTGGGTGGCCGGAATAGATTATTGTCTCTCCAGTAGGCAGTTGGCACCTACCACACCCGTTCCATCTGCTCTCGCAGATTCCCAGCACTTCTATTCTACATCTCCTCATTTCTGCTGCTACCTGGGCAGCCTTTCCAGTTTCGTACATTGTACGAACATTCCATGTACCCATCCTTACTTTTGCTTTCATCGAAAGAAGGCACATCGGCTGACTGGCTTCCCGAAGGCTTTCACCAGCCTGCGTCATTTCACTTCCCCGATTCCAGCAAAAAATAAGGTTATTGTTTATGCTTTTAAAATTTTTAATGTATTCGTTGAAGTTTCTGTAGCGATTTGGTTGTTTTACAGGGGTGGAGTTGGTAGCACCACGCCCCAACCCTCCCTCTTTACCCGGGCTTGGGACCGGCTAGAAAACTAGCAAGCTAGTAATCCAGGCAAGGTTATTTAACTGTTTTGATTTTCATTTCACAACTCCAATGGCTGTATTCGATGCTTATTCATTTTTTTTTAAAAATGCCGTAACGCTAAAAAATGTCTACGTTGTGTTTTTAGCCTAAACCAATCGGTAATAAGCAGACATCGTGTGCTCAATTTCCATTATTGGATTTAAAACCACGCCGGAGAAATGGTCGTCGTCCGACAATTTCAACAGCATCATCATCCTCATCGTCGTCTGAACCCATTCTTCTATCGAAAAAACAAATCAATCCTACTCAGCCTCCGCCTCATCATCATCAGGATGTTGGGAACAATTCGTCTACTGGCGGAGTGTGCAATTATACATCCACTTTCACTTCAGTGGAGAATTCTCAAACTCAATTAAATCCTCCTACTATATTTTATCAATCAACTGATGATAATCATGGCGGTGATGGTGGTGGTCATATTACAAATCATGTGAATTTAAGTAATGAGATCATATATGAATCAGTGACGAATGCAAATGATCCAGTCTGTAAACAGCCACACTTACTTACTGTAGCTGCTGCTTACGCCTCACAACTTCCTTTCAGTAGTAATGATATCTCACACAATATGGATAATTTTGTCACGGATGCAGCTTTAGTACCTGTAAGTTGTTGGAGTTTGTAATTTGATGAACGGGGGATTATTGTTATTATTTAGGTATTCGAACCCGTGTCACCCAGTGCAGCAGTCAATCAGAGACTATCACTGAGCTATTTGGGTTCGCGATTGACCTTCTGTAGGACTGTACTGGATACTCTCGATTGGACACTAGTCAGTAACTAGTGTAATGTGTGTGTGTGTGTCTAGTCCTATCTTCGGTGCAGACTGAATTCTATCAGTCAAGTTGGTTCGAATCTCAGAAGGGACATGGGTTCCTTCGAGGTTACAGATATGCCTTGCTGATGAGTACCAACTAGCACGAAACCTAGGTCAGGCGTGGCCTCCTGCCGATTGCCTCCAACCATCTAATATTAATAATTTACAGTACACCGTAATGGTGAGCCACCTAGCGTGGTGGCCACATTGCAAGCTTGACTGATAGAATTCAGTCTGCACCGAAGATAGGACTAGACACACACACACACACACACATTACACTAGTTACAGAATAGTGTCCAATCAAAAATGTTAATTGTCTTCTTTCATCTTATTATTATCATTATTACTGTCTTGGGTTCCGAGTGGATTACAGGGCCTCAACAGTAGTACATCTTTGTTTTGTCCTATTTTCTGCAGTCCTCTTCAGCTCACCACCAAGCTTTCACCTCCCGTTTTCACATTCTCTTCCGTGTTATTCTCGTACACACGCTCAACTCGTCGCTTTTTCATTTGGGTGTTCCATTTGAGCGATGACCTGGTGGTCTTCTGAACGTCTATCCCCGATCCATCTGCATTTTCTATGGGATTCTTTCTTCTTTTCTTATTATTCACCTGTATATTTTTATAGGTGTAGGTTATGTTGACGTTAATGATATTTTAACTGTTGACTATAAACAAGACTTATAGTAACTGTGTATTCTTTCACAGACTGATTGATTTCGAATGAAAACCAGTGGTATTATTAAATGCCTCTCTCTTGTTGCTAACGCAGAGATTCTGTCTTGAACAAGTGCCTTAAACGGTATTTTTTTAAAGTGTTAAACTTAGAAATTATGAAATATTGGCTCTAATTGATTATCGGTTGATAATGTTACAGTATTCAAGCATTTCAGAGTGTGTATTCATGTTTGTACCGCATAAAATTGCTGCAAGTGTTTTTGCACTGTGTGCTCCTGTCTTGTGAGATGCTCGCTTGTGTGTGTGTGTGTTACTATTTGTAGACACTCAGTTCTTGTACACAGACTCTGAATAACGATTCAGAATAATGATTCACACACGTTTAGGAACGTGACTTTTTACTCAGTTCTTTTTTTATTTCATCACAAAATCAACAAGGTTGGTTAGTGTTCATAAATCTAAGCAGTAGTGTAAATGTGAATCTAGATTGTAAGATTTGTGGGGATTTTGGAATTATTTCAGCTGTGTTAGATTTTTGTCATAAGAGATCATTGAAAATCAGCTGTGTGAGAGTATTGGACGGAGATTTCGTCCTATCTTTGGGTCTCTTCATCATAAGGTACTTACAACCCCAACAAGGTTCGGACGTGGGACCTTTAGGTTACGAGACCAAGCTCGTTGACTGTTCCTCCACTAGGTCTGTGATTCAGCGACCTGTGAATTCTAACTCTGTCAACTCGTGTTGTAGTGCTGCCTTTGATAACCATCCACTTCGCCTTGACACATGGTGGACGCCATTGGTCATGACTTCCCACTTCAGCTTCAGGAAATTCATCCAGCGGCAGTCACCAGTGAGCAGCCGGAGATTACTATTCAGATTATAAGACTTGTGGGGGTGGGGGTGGATTTTGATTATTTTTAATTGTTAGATTGTCCTCACGATCCAACATCAATTGGCGAGATCATTGAAAATTATATCTGAAGTCCTTGCTCACCGTGGAATTTAATTCCTTATTTGCATACGAATTATGCAGTCCCAGCTGAAAATTGCTGTGAGTTTTGTTTAAAAATCCAAAATATTCAGGTCACTAATATATGCTGTGGGCTTGTGTCATAAATAGAGTGGAAGACATGAAAAGCCTAGCTAGCTGTCTTCGATCATAGGTGCCTGCGTTCTATCTCCCGTGTGAAGTGGTATAATAGATTGAGCAATATTGAGGTTAGGCGTTGAGTGTTAGGTAAGGAGGGGAAATAAATCGACAAGGACGTGAAGCTACATCGACTGAGATGGTTAGGACATGTATTACTTATGTATAGCCATCGCCTTCCTCGACGGGAAGTGTTAGCTGACATAGGACGGATCAGGTTGATGAAGAGAGAGCTAGTGGGTGTGAGAACAAATAATGGCTTCATTAGTCAATGAAATCCACAACAGTTAGTTTAAACCAGCCAGCCACGTAGGAAGGTGTAGACTTCCTGGTGAGGGTCCTGGGGATGGTAAGAACCAATGGCTGGAGACAATCAGTGATACGGTTCAAAATCCTCGTTGTCAATAGGTGGCGCAGATGCATCCACACCTTGTGACTTATAATTTCCAATGAAACTGTATTGTTCTTTGTTATTACTATTCCTTTTGTCTCATCCCTGTCTGCTGTCTCTGTTTCGCATTTCTTTTTACTTTCTCCTCTTGCTTTGTATGCTACATTGAGTGTGGCGACTTGAACTGCTGCACATCGGTGCAAAGTTCTATGTTGAAAACAGACAGACTGACACTATCATAAATAGCATTCGAGAAAGTCAACTAAATCGCATAATTGTACATACTACTCGTTATTCATATAAGTAGTTAGAAAAAACTCACATCAATCAGTTGAGCTCGTTTGCTAGCCAGCCAGTTGAAAATGGTCGTCTAAACATCGGATGACTATCAACAACAATACTAAATGTTTTTATCATGCTACACGCACCCAGCGATTATCCGCTTCCAGTTAGTCTCATTGAAAGGTGAATAAGATACAGAGAAAATAGAATATGGGCTAATTTGTGAAATCACTACCTCCTTATCTGTGTTGTGTAGGTAAAGTAAATGTGATTTCTGGGAGAATTCCATGCTTGTAACCACTAGGATTTGTGATTGGATATTAAGTGAATAGCGGGTGGTGGGGTGGTGGTTCTAAGTTGACTCCAATGCTCCGTTTTCTTCATCTTTATTGTGACACTATGCAACGGTTTACTCTGTCTTACTTCCTTATTTTCCCCTTCACTTTATCACTTTCTACCCTATAATATGGACACGTACATGTAACAACTTGGGTTAATACAGCGAAATGTTTTGTCTCATGTTAATAATTCTCGTTCTGAATTCTTTAACTTATCATTAATGTTAGTCTATTTGTTAATTTGTGTGTAGGTTTAAAATGTCTAGTCTTACACAAAGTTTTATTTTTTTATAGATATTCGATATTGTTGTTTCTGAATCATTATCAAGTTTTGCGGCGTAATCCAGTGAAAAAGTCTAGCCGTTGAAACGCCATTTTAGACTATTATTATTATTATTTTTATTGAAACAAAGACTCTGTATATTACTGACACGGAGAGATTTACCACACAAAATCTCATAGTTTCTCCAAGGGGTGGGATACTGACCGGATGCATAGACTAAAGCAGGTGGTTGTCTTAAGGCATCACACCTTCTGAGGCTTTGATATGAAATTTGACCCACATGGTAGTGAAGCAGCGTCAGGGGTCACACTCTCATGGTTGCCAGTGTGCAAAACAGATTTATACGCCAATTAATTTAGTTTTTGATTACAGCTTGATTCCACATCGTATTTTTGGTACAAGTATGGAATTTTCAGCATGTGATATCGGTAGCCCGAATTCCTCAGGCCGACCATAGGTATCGGGTGTGCGTCGGCAAGGGATCAAACCCCGAACCATGTGCATGGTTGGTGAGAGTCCTAACTACTGTTCCACCGATGCAATCCGTTCTAATTCTACAATTCACGCAGACCATATGGCTGTGAGACCTGGCCATTGAGAGTGGAAGACATGAAAAGGCTAGTCTTCTTTGATTGTAGGTCTCTGCTTCCTATCTCCCGTGTTAAATGGTATAATCAGGTGAGCAATACTGAGGTTAAGCGTCGAGTGCTAGGTAAGGAGCGAATGTTAATTGACGACGTTGTGAAGTTACATCGACTGAGATAGTTAGGACATGTGTTAAGCATGCCTAACCTAGTCATCGCCTTCCTCGACGGGCAATGTTAGCTGACATAGGGTTTACCAGCTTGAAGAAGATCTAGTGGTGGTCAAACCGAAACATGGCACCAGTCAATGAAATCTACAACAGTTAGTTTAAACCAGCCAGCCACGTAGGAAGGTGTAGACTTCCTGGTTGGGATCCTCAGGACGGTAAAAACTCATGAAGGCTGGAGACAATCGGTGATATGGATCAAAATCGTTCTCAGTGGCGCAGATGCATCCACTCCTTGTGACTTATAATTTCCAATGGAACTATATTTTTCTTCGTTATCACTATTCCTTTCGCCTGATATCTCTGCTTTGAATCTCTTTTTACTTTCTTCTCTTTCTTTGTGTGCTGAGTGAAGTGTGGAGAATTGAACTGGTGCACATCGGTGCAAAATTCTATGCTGAAAACAGACAGACAGACACCATATTGTCTGGAATCAGAGTTTTTTTCAACCCTTCTGGGTAGACCATCATGTCTACCGATCCGGTTGTAATCACCAGATATTTGCATTCGTCGTTTATCTCCTTGTGAGGAACACGACTGCCGCGTAAAGCCAGTGAAAAGGAATTATCTAGCAGGGGCTATGTAGATGCTGCAGCCACATAAAAGCAATTTGAGAAGTAGACCAAAGTCTACATACCCTTGGTCATACCACGTCATTTATTGGAATTAAAAGTAATGAAGACTAAACGTAGCTATTGGATCCGTTTATAGCAATCAGTGACTGGGAAATAGAATGTTGTCTAGCAGTGTAAGAAATTCTTTATTTTTAGCAGACCAGAATAACAGAAGAATAAGCTATCATGAAAAAAAATTGTAAAGAAGATTTTAGAATAAGTTTATTATCTTTCCAACACTAAGTAAAGCTGGGAAGGGGGGTATTAACTTTCTTCGTTTTGGCTGGAGATTGTGTGAAGGATAAACAAAACTCTATCAAATTGTTATTATTAGTTTCTGCAGAAAAGACGAATGTTCGACACTGTTGCCCTTTCAAGCTGCTGTGTTTGGTGTAGACATTAAAAACTGGAATATTTGGTTTACTTTATGATTGTAATCTACCAGATTTGCTATTTAATGAAATCACACCATAATACTTACTTTACTTCGGCTATCTCCTACGGGAGGATGAGCCGGCTTCATGAACGTCTCGAATCATCGCTGCCCAGGCGCGGCAATTTGTAAGAGAGTTCATGAAGTTTCATGGGAATTTGGTACGAGTGATGTCCCCAGAATCACACCATAATCAGAATGTATAGATTGAACCTAAGTTGAAGGTAGAGGTGTGAAGAAACATTTTGCGGTCATTAAGCAAAACGGATGACAGTGGCGTTTTTATATTAAACCTTTTTTTGCAGTAACAATTTTGAAGACGAGTGATTTTGATTTTAAAGAACGATGAAATTCAACCTCGAACTGTCTGAACATGTATAACATAGAAATGGTATTGTCTGGTGGTGATACCGTATGTCGCAGGTTGATAGGAGCTGGAGCTCATCGGCTAGTAGATTCCATCCACAGTGGTTAAAATGGTCATTGAGTGTTCACCTCGTAACCTGAAGGTTTTGGGATGCGTACTACTGGAGAAGAGTCTCGAGCTAGGATGAAACACCTATTCAGTATTCCTTTTTCAGTGGCCCTGTTACAAGCGTCAGTTCGTGATTTATCTTGGAATTGATCTTTTTGTGTCTCTAACTTGAAGGATTTGTATTTTCCACAGAATAATAGCAGTAATGCACAAGCTTGTGGACATTGTACGTCGGTGGCATAACGGTTAAGACTCTCGCCAACCATGCACATGGTCTGGGGTTCGACCCCCTGCCGACGCACATCCGATATCTATGATCGGCCTGCGAAATTTGGGCTACCGATATCACATGCTTAAAATTCCATACTTGTACCAAAAATATGGTGCGGCATCAAGCTGTAATCAAAAAATTTTAAAAAAATTTATTTAATCAAAACAGAACATATAGATCAACGAAAAGTCTCTTTTCGGCGGCAAATTCATTCACTTTTCTGTCCAATCGCAATTATATACAATTGTTTTTGTAAATGTGTGTGTGTGTACAATAGGTTTGACAGGCAAGAATAAAAAATCAGTCAGGGTTATTGTTTACGTTGTCTAAATTCTTCGAAAAAGTGTGATGAATAATCGATTTGTAATTAGGAGGAGTGAAGATTACTAAGAGAGGTGTAGTGATGATTTGTCAATGCATATTATTATTACCTTGGGTTCCTAGCGGAACATAGGGCTTCAACTGCACGTCTCCACTTGCTTCTGTCTTCCTTCTGCTGTACTTTTCACCTGCATCCATGTTAGTCCATACTCTTTCAACTCCTCTTCACACGATCTCCTCCATGTCACCCTTGCACTGACGTCCCACTCGCCACTTCCCTTTCGGCCTGGTTCCACTCGAGCAATGGCCTGATGCGCGCGCGATGTCACCCAGCGGTCTAATCACCGAATGTCCAATCCATCTCCACTTTCTCCTGCATATTTGTTGTTGTTGGGCGATTGGTTTGTTCTTGTTTTGTTTGTTCCCATAGTTTCTTGTTGGTGATTCTTTCCGACCCGGCCATCTGATCTTCAGTGTAGATCCAGCGAAGACAGTTGTTGATAAAGGTAACGTTTGCAACAGGCTGTTGAAAATATTCTTTGTGATCCGCCCTCAGAGTTTCTGATTCGTATAGAAGAGCTGACTGACTTGACGTTTGTATTGAAAATCCGACCGAATTTTGTTGATGCTGGGTGAGTGACGAAGATTTCCAGATTGGTTTCAGGTTGATGAATGTGTTTCTTGCTTTCCCGATTTCAGCCCGATTTGACATCCTCGTCCGTTCCGACTGCCTGTAGTTGAGACAATGCTCAATGCTAGATAAGTGAGTGAATGAAGTAACCTCTTTCAAATCCCTCCCGTTGATGGTTATTGGCGCTGGATGTTACTGTTGTTGTTGGTTGGTTATTTTCGTCACCGTCTTGTCTATGTTCACCTGGAGTCCTGTCTTCTCTGGCTGCTTCTTCGACCAGTTTGTCGATCGGTTTTCGCTTGTAAGTCCTCGATTTTGTGTGACATCAAACATAACTCATCAACGTGCGAAATGCAGATCTCCTAGGTTCTTCACGTCGGTCCAGGATATCCTTGTCTTCTCGTTTCCCACTGTCTGATGCATAATCCAGTCAGTCCACCACAATTAGGAATATCATTGGTGACAATAAGCACCCTTGTCTGACTCCTGTGTTTACTCCTAACGCATCACATCCGTCTTGTTTATGTTCACCTGGAGTCCTGTCTTCTCTGGCTACTTCTTCGACCAGTTTGTCGGTCAGTTTTCGCTTGTAAGTCTTCGATTTTGTGTGACATCAAACATAAATCATCTGCGAAATGCATAATTGAAGTTGAATAAGTACTGTGTTGCAGTTGCTTAATAAACGAGTAATTTCATGAATGATTTTGTGATCAGGATGCACATTAGAAACGAAGGAAAATACAGAATTACGTAATATTCCGAAAGAAGTACAAGAGTTATAGTGAGTTAGAAAAAAACAAGCAAACAAAAATGTAGTCATTAGAAATGAAAGAGCTGTTACCATGATATTTAGAAGTTGAGCGATTTTCTTTTGTATGCATAACTGTGGTTTTTCCAACTGAATCGGGCTAAGGTTTCAGCAATACAAAGAAGATGAAAGCATATTGCCTTTGGTAGATTATTCTTCACTTTGTAGATTACTTTGAAGGATGGGGCGTTTGTTGAAATAGAATAACCGGTGTTGACAAGATGTTCGATTCTCGCACTTCTTAGAGAGCCGCTACTACCTTTCCGTAACCGTGCAGGATAGCGTTTTTCAACCCCTTTTAAACAGAATACTCGCCGAACGACCAATGTATCTGACTCCACAGCAACAAGTGAACTGATACCTGGACATTTATTTACACGCTGAACTAGTCTTCTCATATATATTGTGCTACAAATCTAAATAAATGCTTAATTGAATATTAGGTTTTCCCGTCGATTGATTGGACCGAAGTGCTCGGTCTCAGGTTGACATGTCGGGCGGCTTCTTGTGCAGATGCTTTGACGATATCTAGGCATTAAATTGGTGGATGGTGACTAGCAGTGTAATCCAGGATCCGCATTTCGTCCTATTTTGGACTCGTCGGTCGGATGTATATGCATCCCCCAGTGAGTGATGATGACATCATCGAAGCGTCTGCACAAGAAACCGACATGTCAACTTGAGACCAATCACTTCAGTCCAATCAATCGACGGGAAAATCTAAAATTCAATTAAATATTTAATATGGTCCGTTGCACAAAAGTTGACTCTTGTGACCCAAGTGGTCTAGTGGATGACGCATCGGCGTTTGAAACTATGAGCACTGGGTTCGAGCCTCGATGGTAGGAACATCATCACTCACTAATGGGGAATGCAAGTACATCCATCTGGTGGACGAGTCCCAAATAATGGGACAAAATGCGCATCCTGGTGGATTCCACTGCTAGTCACCATTCACCATTTAAATTCTAAATGAATCCTTGTTGCTAAACGCATAACTATGATTTAAATATGCGTGTATAACACAGCACTGTTGTTTTTTACTTCTCTACCCCCGCCCCCCCGCAATACCCACTTTACAGTTTTCAACAACCAATTCTTCTATGCCGAGTATTCAAATCTATCCTATCCCATGGATGTCTGATACACAACATAATTCTACTCTGACATCTTCTGATGTCTTAATATCTAATGGAGTAATCAATCAATCAATAGATCATCCAGTTTATTCTACTGCTACTTCCTCTTCTTGTGACAATCAATTTCATACAGTTACCAGTGTGACAACAAATTGTGAATTATCATCATCATCGTCGCTTACACATGAATCATTAACACCATATTCATTTATTCAGTTTTATCCTGTTATGAGTTCAGATGGTCAGCTATACTACATGACTGGTACACCAATTGAAATTGCTCAAACAGATCCTAATAGCTGCTGTAATCATCAAATGGAGTTTAATTCTGGCATAGTTACTGCTAATTGTTGTAGTGAATCAGGTTATGAATATACAACAAATGAGATATGGACGTCTAACGATCTTAGTAGTGCGGATACTGATAATACCAATAATAATAACAATAATAATAATACAATAAATATAAATTCTTCAATATCATCACATCATGTATCTAACACAGATGTTAATATTGGTGATGGACATCATGGAAACAATACGAGTTCTGTTGCTTATATTGTTACTCCTGAAAGTTGTAATAATAATAATAATAAAAATAATGAGGGGATTATATACTTCTCATCACATTATAATCACAATAATGGTGTATCAGAGAATTGTCAACCGATTTTAGGTAAGTTATGTGAATGTGTTTTAATACTTCTTGCTCTTACATCACCTGAACAATTCGTTTTAAAATGTACACACACACACACACACATGAATTATAATCATCTGTTTAATGTGTAGTCACTATTACTTTTGAAATTGATCATAGGTGTCTACGTTCTATCTCACGTGTTAGGCGATATATTATAGTGAGTGATATTGAGGTTAGATATCGACTGTTCGGTAAGGAAGTAGGAAAATCAATCGATGAGGTTGTGAAGCTACATCAACTGACATGGCTAGCCATCACCTTCCTCGACAACAGGCAATTTTAGCTGATATGAGATTCATCAGGTTGGTAAAGAGCTAATAGTAGTCAAATCAAAATGGCCGGGATTCGATTCTGTCGACCGAGAGGTACTCTGGTGATGTTTGGCTTTGGAGGGAATGCATTGATCAAGCCAATCACCCTACTCGAACTCATGCAACTAAGGTAAGAGTTTACGGTGAGTTGTCACCTGAAGTAGTTGGTAACTAGTAATGTCCAACAGGGATGCCCATTGTCCACATTTCTATTCAATTTTATCATAGATGTGCTAATGGAATTAACCCTAACTCACTTAAGCGACTCAGGGATTAAATTTTTACCAACAGGGAATAATCTCGTTGACTTTGAATATGCAGGCAGTATACTACTTCTAGGTAAACACGCTGACATAATGCAGAGTCTTCTGAACACCTTGAGCTGCAATCTACAAATGTCTGGCAAGTGGTTCGCTCTCGTCAAATGTAAAATGATGCTACAGGACTACATTGACTTCTGACTTCGAAATAGGGGATGAAGTGGTAGAGCGTGTTGACTACTTCACTTATTTGGGAAGTTGCATCAGCCCCAATCGGTTGGTCGCTGACAAAATCTCAGAACAGATACAGAAGGCTGGTTTCGCATATGCCAGTTTACGCTATCTCTGATGTAGATGTGGTATCCGGCCGACTATCGACCAAAAGGGCGGGTGTCCTGCTCAGCAGTTTGCTCCCGTCCTCTTCAATGGCTGTCTGTGAGACCTGGCTATTGAGAGTGGAAGACATAAAAAGATTAGCTGTCTTCGATCATAGGTACCTGCGTTCTATCTGCCGTGTTAAGTGGTATAATAGGGTGAGCAATATTGAGATTAGGCGTCGAATGCTAGGTAAGGTGGGGAAATCAATCGATGAGGCTGTGAAGTTACACCGATTGAGATGGCTAAGATATATGTTACGCATGCCTAGCTTAGCCATCGCCTTCCTCGACGGTCAATGTTAGCTGACATAGGGTCAAGCTGGAAAAGAGCCAGCAGCGGTTAAACCAAAACATGGCTTCATCAGTCAATGAAATCCACAACAGTTAGTTTAAACCAGTCACGTAGGAAGGTGTAGACTTCCTGACTGGTTGGGGTCCTCGGGACCGCTCAAGGCTTGAGACGATCGATGGTATGGCTCAAAATCGTTCTCAATGGCGCAGATGCATCCACTCCTTGTGACTTATGATTTTCAATGAAACTATATTGTTCTTCGTTATTACTATTCCCTATCTACTGTCTCTATTTTTCATTTCTTCTACTTTCTTCTCTTTCTTTGTGTGCTGAGTGAAGTGTGGCGACTTGAACTGCTGCACATTGGTGCAAAGTTCTATGTTGAAAACAGACTGACAAACAGAAACCAAAACTTGGAATCAATCCATGACATTTTTGACAGCTAACTCGTGCCAGCCACGTAGGTAGGTGTAGAGTGGCTGGTTGATTTTGGTCCTCGGGATTTTAAGAGCCAATAAATAGAAATAATTGGTTACATGCCTCATTGAAAAGCTCTGCCGAAATTCTATGGCTTCATTAAATCCTGTCTTGTTAACATTTATTGCTTGTCTTAAACTATCATTACATGTTGTTACTCCTGACGATAAAACCAATTGGAGTTATGTAGGATGTGTAAGCCTTAAAATAAATGGCACCCATTTTTAAACATTTATTAGGATTAAGTGAGTATTTATTAAATATCTGCATTAATTTGTGATAGTCATTTTTGCAATGGTGGAGTAGATTTGTAGCGGAGGTAGATGTGCTTTATCTGCACGGAGCTGGATATCCTGAATACATCCACCTGAATTGCAAATATCCTCTGTCATTTGAAGATTTTATCAGGGGACAGTGCTTCTGTCTTTTCGAAAGATGCAAGACACTGCCAAGAAACAGGTGCCTACTAGAGAATAATTACTTTTTATCCATGATTGTCTCCGTCATCATATCTGTCTGTTTTCGACATAGAACTTTGCACCGATGTGCGGCAGTTCAAGTCGCCACACTCCATGTAGCACGCAAAGCAAGAGAAGAAATGCATAATAGAGACAGTAAACAGAGGTGTGAGACAAAGGAATAATAATAACGAAGAACAAAACAGTTTCATTGGAAATTATAAGTCACAAGGAGTAGATGTATCTGCGCCAGCCGTTGAGAACGATTTTGAACCATATCATCAATAGTTTCCAGCAGTTGGTTTTTACTGTCCTGAGGACCCCAGCCAGTCAGGAAGTCTACATCTTTCTACGTGGCTTAAACTAAGTGTTGTGGATTTCATATCCTACCAATAATTCTGAGAGGTAGACCTCTGACGGATTGGTAGTTGAAATGGAGGTTAGTCATCTGTCTGTCTTGATTCAACATAGAACTTGGCACCGAAGTGCAGCAGTTCGAGTTGCCACGTTCCAAATAGCATACAAAGGTAGATAAGATGATGAGTGAAGAGAATCAATAGAGTTTGACAGGTATAAGAGCGAAACAGAATGGGTAATGGTAGAAAGGAATATGAATACATCTGCGCCATTGACAACGATTTTGAGCCATGTCACCTATTGTCTCCAGCCATTGATTCCTAGATTCAGTCCCGAGGGCCCCAACCCGGAAGTCTGCATCTCCCTACCTGACTCAGTTTAATTGTCAAGGATTTCATGGATTGATGAGGCCATGTTTTTGTTTGGCCACCACTGGCTCTTTTCCAACCTGCACCTATATCAGCTAGTAATGCCCGTCGGGGGAGGCGGTGGTTAGGCAGGCATGCGCAGCACGTGACCTAGCCATCTCAGTCTATGTAACTTTATAGCCTCGTCGATTGATTTTCCCTGTTTGCCCAACACTCTACACGCCTAACGTCAACATTACTTACCTTAATAAACCACCTACCGTGAGGAAGAGATCGTAGACATCTATGATCAAAAGCAGTCAATCTTTTCATGTCTTCAACTCGTATTGGCCATGTTTCAGAGCCATAGAGAAGGATGGAGCGAACTGCTGAGCAGTACACACGTCCCTTGGTTGATAGCCGGATGTCACGCCTACTACAGATATGATGTAAGTTAGCGAAACCGAGGTTAGTCATACAATGGGGAAAACAAATTGTCAAGCCTAATGATCACAGAATGTGATTATATCTAGTGGGTAGATTTAATTGAAGAATAACTTCTTCAAGAGCATTTTTATTCTATCTTAAAAACACTTAGCAATAGTGATTAGTCAAGCAGCGTTAGTGTTGTGTGGACCATAATGAGTCCTTGACCAATAGTTGTTACATTGACGTTACGTTTATGCTTGCCAATTGAAATGTCCCAACGAAAGTATACTGGCTGAAAAAATTGTTTTTATATGTTCTAGTACTCTTTAAAGTCACTTACTCTATGACGGTGTTAAGAAAATCTCGTACTACTGGTAGATTTCAGTTTAATAACAATAAGATACTTCACCTTCGCAAAGGACAACCTACCTGTACTGTATTCTTTATTTTATTTTTTTATTTCTGATTATAGCCTAGTTCCACACAGTATTTTTGGTACAAGTAAAGAATTCTCAGCATGTGATATCGGTAGCCCAAATTTTTGCAGGCTGACCATTGATATCAGGTGTACGTCGGCAGGAGTTTATTTATTTATTTAAACGCATAAAAAAACTTGGTACAATATGGCACCAAGAAAGATGCGCCGGCAGAAGATCAAACCCCGAACCATGTGCATGGTCGGCGAGAGTCCTAACCGCTGTGCCACCGATGGACAAAGATGGTGAAAGAACGAAGACATTAGAAAGTATCGTCCATAAAAATTGTGGATCTTAATACTCTGTGGAGATATGTAACCACTGTTAAGATTATCCTTAAGGATGAATCTTTCCAGGGTTCACCTACAAAAAGGCTGTGTGTGTGGCGGGGCTCAATTAATCTGTTGGACTATGTGGTCATGTTAAACAGATCTCTTACATGTTTCTGATAATTTCAGTAGAAACTAACTTTGACAATGTATGCAGCTGGGGAGTTGCAATGTCACATACTTCCACAAGTACATAAATACATTGTGTTCACCGACACCCTCTAATTCTCCTTCAGAGTCCCCCCTTCACTGACGATGCTATTACTCCCAGAGTATAACTATCGCTTCAGTCAGACAAACAACGTCCGCAGTTTCCTAAAACTACTCTGCGAACTTCATACTGGAGCATCCAACGGTTATCTTGAATGTGATAATAGGTATCACTATCCGAAACTCTGTCATCTTGGGTTTTGAACTTATGTTGTTTCTGATATATGCTTACAAAACCCAGATTAGGTTATTCATTCAAACTTGATTGAGCAGTATAGTGACATGTATCCTGCGATTCTTTGGTAAGTCCTCATGTACCTGAGGTGTGAAGACGGCACAAAGCTGAAAAGTAGAAAACTCTCTACTCACTTGAATTTCAACAGACATTCTGCTGTGTAATGTCTGGCTGAATACTTTCTTCAGAATAGGGAGGGGTGGTAAAATGAAGACTAGCAATTTTGGCACCAGAGGGGGAGCACTGTGGTGCATAATAAGAATATTAATATAGTGTATTACGTAGACGCAAGAAGTGAATCAATAGGATTGTGAAACTTCATTGATTCGACTGGCTTAGGGCATGTGTTGCCTATGACAAGCCAACCGCCTTCATGAATTAGGTGTTAAGTACAGTCATTAAAAAAAATAGAACCACTCAATGAAGTAATTGATCCTTTTGATTGCACACTAACTAGTGTCATGTTTTCAGTCCTTTGTTTATTGCAGATTGTATTCTGTCAGTCAAGTTTACAATGTGGCCACCATACTAGGCGGCTTACCATCACGATACACTCAGGATTGTTGTTAGTAGATAGTTACGAGTCATTGATCGTTAGTCTGAATCACATGACGTGTAGTAGACTGTTTTAGTTGAGGTCCTCCTGGATATACTCAGAATCCTCCTTTATGTCTGTAAGTCGTGGCCATTGACAGTAGAAGGCATGAGAAGATTAGCTGTCTTTGATCATAGGTGCCTGCGCTCTATCTCTCGTGTGAAGTGGTATAATGAGGTGAGCAATAATAAGCTTAGGCGTCGAGTACTAGGTAGGTGGGAGGGGAAATCAATCGACAAGGCTGCGAAATTAAATCGACTGAGATGGTTAGGACATGTGTTACGCATGCCTAGCCTAATCATCGCCTTCCTCGACGGGAAATGTTAGCTGACATAGGATGGATCAGGTTGGAAAAGATCTAGTGGTGGTCAAGCCCAAACATAGCATCAGTCAGTGAAATTCACAACAGTTAGTCTGAGCCACGTAGGAAGGTGTAGACTTCCTGACTGGTTGGGGTCCTCAGGACGGTAACAAAAAATGAAGGCTGGAGACAATTGTTGATATGGCTCGAAATCGTTCTCAATGGCTAGTGCAGATGCATCCACTCCCTGTGACCTATGATTTCTAATAAAACTACATTGTTCTTCGTTACTTCTATTTCTCTGTCTCACACCTCTGTTCACTGTCTCTATTATGCTTTTCTTGTACTTTCTTCTCTTGCTTTGTGTGCTACATGGTGGGAGTGTGGCGACTTGAACTGTTGCACATATATGCAAAGTTCTATAACGAAAACAGACAGACTAAGAATCCGGAGTTTGAGACTGATTCTGAGCTGATGACTCAGAATGGTGTAAAACAGTCAGAGATGTATTCAGGACTTGTTTTGTTTTTTCCAGATTTTCAAAATCCTTCACTTAATCAGTTTTTCTCCCATACAACAGCAACACAATCTGCTATAATCTCATTATATGTATTTTTCTGAACTGTGATCAATTTAATTGACACCCTTTTTTATTTTAAAGTGATAGATAAGTAGGTCACATAGTTAGGCGTCATTTGACATAAATAAAAATGTGTGGTATTTTTCACAATTCATACTGATTGATCTTGAAAAAATAAGAGTGTATTGCTCTTGCATTTAATAGTGCAGACATGAAGACAGACGATCATATTTCTCTGAATCATGTATTGTATGTATTTGCACAACACATTTCGAACAATCTGATAACACTCCACGGACTTGTCATAGGAATACATATATATGAAATTAATAAAGAGTTAAGAGGTGAGAAAATAGACTTATGTCAAGTTAAAAGGACATATTCAAAGTCGAAATAACAATGAAGACCACTAAACCAAATAGCAGAGGTAATTGTACATCTGCCATGGCTGGTATCAAAACAAAATTTACCAAGGAAGGTTTGTAGTACCCCTATACCAACCGTAAACATGCTTTTTAATCTAATTTGTATACTTGCATTATATGTGTATACAGACCGATTTTATATATACTTCGCAAATATTTGTCCATTGACTGTTGATTATTACCTTGACACAATTTCGAATTTGACTACTGCTTCAATACATATTCGTATTCTTCACAAGTGCCTTTTGATTTACGTTGTGGGCGTCGAGTAGCCACAACGTCTGCGCACATCAATAAGAACGAAGAAATACATAGAATATATGTGTACAGCAGTTTAGTCAGAAAACGCACGCAACAGGTTTAGTGTGATGACGAATTGTTGCTTTGGACGCATAAAGGTGGTTTAAACTTTCTAATTGCCAGCTAGTCCTCCCACAAACTTTACGATACCCCCCAAACACGTTTTATAGGTAGGTTTAAAAGATCTGTTAATGTCAATTTTATGTCCTGTCTCTATAATATGTTTCGCAATAGAAGAGCTAGGTCTCCTGTTCTCACCATTAATATGTTCTGAAGATTCCATTTATTTCTGGAGCCATTTAATAATAATAATAATTTACTTTTTTCCAAAAACAGTACTTGTGATACAGAATGGAATTTTCAGCATTAATCACAATATTGCATCTAATTTCCTCAAATTATAAATAAAAAGTAATCACACAGAAAATTTTCCATATTTACATTAGAGGTAGTGTCAAAAACATGCAGCATATAAAATGGAAATAACAATAATAATGATAACAGCTAGGGTAATAATAATAAGAATACAAGTGAAAATTGCCGTTGGCTTGTGTCACACAGTATTCGCAATGTGGTATAGAAATCCTAACATGTTTAAAAATATTGAATATAATGTTCTCTTTACATGATATGGTGAGGAGAAAAACAAAGATTACAGCAGTCATGGAGATAAGTTGGTGTTTGCAATTATGAGAGTAAAACAGAGAATTAACAGGACCATAAATATAATAGAAATAATAAAAGTAAAACTTGAAGGTGTATAAGGATGGATGGAGGAAATTTTTTATTTACTAGATGGAAAAAGGTTAGTTAATTCTTGCCTGACACTATTTTCATGACATAAAATACGTGACAAGGATGGTATCATAGAATTTTTATACTTAGACGTGCGAGCATACAGTTTTCTGAAGTTACTCCTTGTTCTACCTGAGGAGATTCAAGGTGAAAGCTGAGAGTAAAGCGGATGCTCCAAGTCAGACAAAATCCCTCTAGCAAATTTATTTAGGAATATGCTCTGAAGGCAGCCTTTACTTGCAGCGATCGATGAGTCCTCCCCATGTCTATGTGTGTCCACACGCACATTGGTAGATATTGTGGGATCTGACGTCATTTTTCGCATGCTTGAAGGGATTAGATAGATATAATGGCTTTACATTCTCAATTACTATTATGATATTAGCTGCATAAAAAGTCTTTTTAACAGCAGCCTTCAGTCCTTGTCTAGTTATCAAGCTGCTTTGATGCCCCATGTAGGGTAGCTTGATGTGCACATCTTTCTTAGGGACGAGTTGGACAGTGGGTCTTGTTGGTGTTCGAAATGTGTTGTGGGCGCAAATACAACATTACACGATTCAGACAAAAATTGCGTCTTCTTATTGCTTTATTTAAATTCATAAAGGGAACTAATTGTTTTAGATCATATTTCTGTTATATATTTAAAACTGTCCATTATTGAGTGTATTCTCTGTCGCTTGTTTGTTTTAGTTGCACTAAGTTTGTACAATTCAATCGGTATTTAACTGTTTTGATGCCTTGAGATATTTATTCACCTTATATGTATTACACCAAATAATTAATGAACCTATGGCATTCAACTTTTGTCACTGTTTTATGTTTCAGCAGTTTAATTCATTCAATTTTTTTTCTTGAAATTTGTTTTTCTCTTCTCAGATTACTTATCAAATGATGTAGAAGTTATCGATTTAAATATCCCTGCTGCTGTTGTTCATTTGGATGAAAGTAGTAGTGTTTCTGGTACAGCTAGTGTTCTAGGCGAAACTCAGCTGACCTCAACTTTATTATACGATGTTAATCCTCTTACAAATAGCAATAATGATAATAATAACAATGATAATAATCATCATTTCAGTCTAACATGCTCTGATTCAACAGAATCCCCCCTATTGAATTCTACAAATATTATTACAACAAGCTCTGATCAACAACAATCACTTTCAGTCATGTGTACTGTAAATCAAAATGATCTCAGCAATAATAGTGGCGATGGTGGTGGTGGTGGTGAACAATCGATATTCGATACAGTAAGCTCAAAACAAAAAAGAAAACAAAATTGGTTTATCAATATTTTTTAATGTTTATGAATCAATTCATGCTGTGTTTCCCTCTAGGTAATCAGATAGTTATGCTTTGAAGGTCGTATTATTATTGTTCCCTTGAGTACAACACATCTCCATTCCATACGGATCTCTCCACGACCTCTTCCTCCTCCATTAACCTTCGGATGCCAAAACTCCACTTTACGGCCAGGTGCATGATGTGGAAGACATGAAAAGATTAGCTGTCTTTGATCATAGGTGCCTGCGTTCTATCTGCCGTGTTAAGTGGTATAACAAAGTGAGAAATATTGAGATGAGGCTTTGGTCGAGTGCTAGGTAAGGAGGGGAAATCAATCGACGAGTCTGTAAAGTTACATCGACTGAGATGGTTAGGACATGTGTTACGCATGCCTAGCCTAGTCATCGCCTTCCTCGGCAATGGGCAATGTTATTTAACATAGGATCAGGCTGAAAAAGAGCTAGCGGCGATCCAACCAAAACATGGCACCAGTCAATGAAATCCACACCAGTTAGTTGTGCCAGCCACGTAGGAAGGTGTAGACTTTCTGACTGGTTGGGGTCCTCGGGACGGTAAAAACAAATGGTTGGAAACAATTGGTGATGTGGCACAAAATCGTTCTCAATGGCTGGCGCAGATGCATCCACTCCTTGTGACTTATGATTTCAAATGAAACTATAGTTCTTCGTTATTACTATTCTTTTTGTCTTGTATCTCTGTTTACTGTCTCTATTATGCATTTCTTCTACCTTCTTCTCTTGCTTTACGTGGTACATGGAGTGTGGCGACTTGAACTGCTGCACATCGGTGCAAAGTTCTATATCTAAAACAGACAATGTGGCCATTATGCTAGTTGCCTCGCCATCACGGTGCACATTAATTTGATGATATCAGATGGTTGGAAGCAATCGGCCACAGGAAGCCTTCGACATAGGTTTCGTGCTAGTTATCGCTCCCTAGTCAGCAAGGCGTATCTGCAACTGTGAAGGAACTCATGTCCCTTATGCGATTGGAACCCAAGTCACCCAGTGACTGCTGCAATCAGAGGCGTTAGCGCTGAGATATTCGGGCTCGCGACTCACCTCCTGTAGGACGGTATTTGACACCTAAAATGGTGGCCACATTACGAATGTGACTGATAGAATTCAGTCTGCATCAAACAGAGAACTAGACACACACACATTACACTAGTTACTGACCAGTGTCCAGTCAAAAGTATCCAATGCAGTCCTACAGAAGGTCAATCGTCGACCCGAACATCCTAGTGGTAACGTCTCTGACTGACTGCAGCACTGGGTGACGCGGGTTCAAATCGCATACGGGGGATGAGTTCCCTCAACGTTACAGATACGAATTGTTGACTAGTGAGTGCCGACGAGAACGAAACCTAGATCAGGCGTGGCTTCCTGTCGATTGCCTCCAAACATGTAACATTCTTTTACTTTCGGAGTGGAACATAGGGCTTCAGGCTTCAAAGTTTTAGCGATGAGGGGCTTATTATTGCCTAGACTCAGGTCTAGCATTGAATTAGCCCCAGAATCGAGCGTGCAACAGCCTGCAGGGTTGGCGCGAGCATTGAACCACCAACTCATAATTAGTCATGCACCATTAAAACAGTTATTATTACTATTAGGTTGAAGAGTATTTATGTATGATAAAATTATTTAAAAATTTTTTTTACGAGGTTGTCGTTGTTGTTGCTTACTTGTTTAATATTCTGTAAACTTTTAATTTATAAGATGAACAAGTAATTTGACGAAGTCCAGTAACAATTGTAAACACTTCTCTTACTTTTTATTTTTGAATAAGTAAAGGAGTTGGATAACTGGTGTGTATGTGTGTGGTTAGTAAGGTGGTAATCAGGTTAGAGCAATAAGAATAGGGTTTGGATAAAATTTTTCTAAACGCCAATTCAATTCATTAGAAACAGTAGAGATAGCACCTATCTCATTCAAAAGATTAACAGTTACAACATAAATATGAGCAAGACATTCGATGGTAAATAATGTTGTTATACACTTTTGTAAATTTATTCTAGTAGTATTGATTAGTTTTCTGTTAAAAGTATTAGACTCTTATGTCAAACACACATCAAGTGTTAGTTTGTGGAGGTTTGACTGTTTGGATTATGGATTGGTGTCATTTGGAGAACCAGTAAAAACCAGAGAGTACTTAACAGCTATTACGTCCTAGTTTAGAACGCCTTCAGCAGTACGTACCCATGGTCCAGGATCTTGAATTTATGAGGCAGTCATTCAGCTACTGGGACACAACCCGATTATTACTCCATGAATTCTATCTCAAGTCCGTTTGTGATTTTAATGCGACAGCCAGCCTATGTCATTGGCGGGTATTTGTCTTCATACCCGACCTGCTGGACCCCACTGCTCACGACCCTTCCCATTGTCTGAGAGAATTGCAAAAATTCGAAAATTACCAGAAGTTAGAATGCGTAGGGCTGCTGGATTCCGTCCCAGTAGATGAATGGTAAACGAGCTTGCCCCATTACTTGAAGGTCCTGGGTTCGACCCTTGGTAGGATCATGGGTGATTACTGCTGTAGGATCCCAAGCTTGGACGAAACAGCTATTTGCTTCTCCCTGGTTTTCGATGCTTCTATAACTGATATATATATATATATATATATATATATATATATATATGGTGATAACTATATGCTTTTTTAATATTTTGCTTATAAACATCCAGGTTACAGTATTAAACTCAACTCCATCAGCAATCCATTCTGAAGTTTTACAAGAATCTACTATCTCCCTAGAGCTTACCACTAGTGATTCCAATGATGCTTCTTTTTCATCATTAAACAGCGAAAGAATAGACTGTCTAAAAGAATATTTAAATTTCAATAAAACGCCTGCTACAGAAACACTAAACAACAACTCTATTGTGTATACATTAAAAGATTCTTTGCATAGTAATAATAATAATAATAATGACAACACCAACAACACGGATTTGAATAACTCACCGTTAACAAATGATTTATCGGATCTAACATCACATGTGAACAACTCATCAACATCATCAGCAACGACAACAGTGGCACTAACTTCTCCTATTTGTCAATTGCCGACATCCGTTTAATACTGTATGTTGTTATGTTTTTCTTACAGTCTTGTACATACATATTCACTTATATGTAATAATGTTGCTGGTTAGTTTATTATTTCGATTATTATTATTACTTTTACGCCTATTATGTTATCATATCCATTTTGAAAGTAATTCACACTGTTTGATATTGCATAATTGTTTTTGGCCGATAATCTTATTGCCTGTTTTTTTTAAGTGTTGCTTCATTTTTAAGCTTTCTTTGAATATTATTATTGTTATTTTTACTTATTATCCTGCCTATGGATGAAAAATGTGACATTGTTTCTCTCTTGTAAAATATTATGTGTCTGTGTAAATAATATGAGTACTAATCATAGTGATAATTATTAATCAACAATGTTGTTTTAATGCTAATGAAATGATCATTATATATGCGACACACCAAAATATATAACTTTATTATGCAATAATGAATAATAATAATTATTATTATAGTTAATTTCATTTTTCCTTATTATACTAATATTCCTAACAATAATATTTTTTATTCAACTGTTTTGTATTATTTTCAAAAATCATGATCTCAATTCTTCTTTGCGACAAACCTGTTGTTGTTGTGTCTTTATTTATGTTTATATTATAATTTGATGATATAAACGATTATCATCTCATGTGTACGATTGTAGTAGTTAGTAGTAGTAGTATCGTCAATAAATTCCATGATTAAAACGCTTCCTTCATCATATTTCATTTGAGCCGGGCCTAGCCCACTATTGTGTTTACTTGATTTATTTATTTATTTATCACTCATGCAGCATTTATTTTTGTTTATTTGACAAGACAACATTGTGTTTTTTTAAAAATGTTTTTAACGAAATGGATTGTGTTCTTCTCATTATTCTACATGTCCAATAGTTAAATAGTCCCCCCCCCCTTATCCCCCAAAACATCCTCCCCCACTTTTTTGTCTTCTTTGTACTGGTTCTTGTATATTTGATCTCATTAGGTTCTTCCTCCCCCTCCTCATCATCATTATGAGCAGTCATCATCGTTGTTTTTGATTTCCTCCTCAAAGTATATGAGGAGGAGGAGGAGAAGAAAGAGGGGGTTAAGTGTTATTTAATTGATTCACTATGTAATCAGTTATGCATTGTTTTTTTCCATATGTCTCTTATCACATATTAATACTATCTGATGACGTATAACGTTTAATGTAATGATTAATAGTCCTGTTTGTATGAAAATTCCGTTTTTAATTTCCATTAACTTTTTCCTTTGTTTATTTATTATAGAAGTAATGTGTTGTTAATTCAGAAAAAAAAAGTTGTTTAGTGTATTTGAAAACTTAAACTCTAATCCGTTCTGTCTTTTTTTAAAAAAATTTGACTATGAATATTTGTTGTGGAACTTTCAGCAGAAAGGAGGTAGTTTTTGAGGTGAATGTGACGCTGCCATCCTGTGTATATGCATATTTAACTCATTGATAAATTATTATTATCATTATTGTTATGGTAGCCATAAGTGTTATTAATTCACAAAGTGGGATTTAGTATTAATATCATCCCTATAGCGTCGGTGGTTTAGCTGTAGGAATGCTCGTCAACTATGAATGTGGTTCAGGGTTCTATCGCCATCTGATACACTCCTAAACCTTGCTACAGGCTGGTAGTAAGGCGTGTAAACAGGAAAGGTTGGGTGTGAAGCTAGCAAACCCCCACCCCCGTAAAAGTAGAAATCACTGCTGCTGAATCCTACTTGAATATCGGAAAATTTTACGGTACACAGGAATTACTTCAAAACATTTATTGTTCAATATAATTAGCCGAAGATGTGAAGCAGTAGGGCTATTGAAGTATTTTACAACCACTATGAGTCATTTTCAGCAAAGAACGGTATGCTGCAGTGTAGACTTCAGTGCTGTGTGCGTATTTTGCATCAAGACCTAATGTGCAAATATACACTGGTCAAGAATTAAGAGCATTAGGTAACTATATCATACTGTCACACGCTTGCCAAAATCTGAGGAACTTTCTGTATAGATGCTTTGTTTGTCAACAGGTCATGTAACAGTTGCTGAAGATTGTATTCTACCGAATAACCCATCACGTAATTCTAAGGCTTATTTTTGCTATTACTGAAGATGTTGCCATTACTAGGTGGATAATGAACAGCAATTTCGAATTTCGTCTGATGTAATAGGACGAAGTTCAAGTTATTGACATATCCTTAAAGAATCCATTTCCCACACACTTCCAAAAGCACATGAAACCCTCCTGAGCATCATTCTCCCTTACCCACATCACCCTCGTCATCTTACTTATCTACTACAGCCAGTACTATTCTACAAGTTAGTCAGTCATTCTCACTTCACTCTGTGACAACAAACAACGGTGAGGGCCATGGAAGCACCCCCGACAGCCTCTTAGAGCCATGTCGCCAACTTTATATAGGAGCATTGAACGTAAGAGCCCTCTGCCAAATCGTACAACTGGCATCTCGAGCCATGGATGTATGTTGTGTCTCGCAGATACGCGTACAAGACCCGAGTGTGGTCATTCACTCAACCCCACCAGGCGAAATTCACTTAAAAGTTGTCAGGTGACTCCTCAACTAGTTCGCGAGGACTCGGAGGTGTTGGGATAGCATTGAGTGTTAGGGAGGGAAAATCACTTCTTGACTGGATCTCAGCATATAGTCATATGTGTGCGGTCCCTCCGAACGGGTCCGTTAGAAGAAATCATAATCTTCGCTTACACCCCAATAGACTGCAATTCGGATGAACTAAATGATGAATTCTACTTGAAACAGATTTGCTGCAAGAAGCAAAACGCTCAGATATGGTTGTTTTAGCAGGCGATTTCAAGTAGGGAAGTTATGCCAGACTGAGTATATAGCTGGTACCTACGGAGTTCCCTGCCGACAACGTTGATCATCTTCTACAGTTCTGTTCACATAATCATCTGTTCCTAGTCAGCACTAACTTAAGGCACAAAGTGAGACACTGCGTAACTTGGCGACCCCCACCACCAAATCAATGCTGGGGTCAGATAGACCACATAGCGACAGGATATCGTTGACGAGGGTCAGTAGACGACTGCCGATTCTTCTGGAACACGTGCTTAGACTCCGATCATGCCTGGTTAGCGCACGTTTATGCTTACAACTAAATGGACATAAAACTGTTGGCAGCGAAGAAGCTACACCCCCAACTAGGTCAGAATTTTGAAGCCCTATTTAAGGATGAAATAGCGAAACGAGTATCTGAGGTCGACAGCAGGACTTCCCCTGAGGTAGCCTGGCACAGCATACATTTAGCTGTAGACACAGCTGTAAAAGCTGTTAATAACCTGAAGCCTAAAGTTAGTAAGAGCCATTCGATTTCTACCACCTCAACCGAATTGATTGAGGAGCGAAAGCTGCTCAAATGCAAGTTAACCAGAAGTTTTCGTAACGACGGTGAACGTTAGCGGGTGACAAAAGCGAACAATTATTCAGATTTACCAGGGAAACAGGTGGTATAAAGCAAATGATAAGCGAAACAATTTATGAAAAAATGGCACAGTAATTAACTCCCAAGATAGACAACTGTTAAGTTGGAAGGAACACTTGGCCTACAGCCACGCTCAACTTACGGAGCATCCAACACCTTCCTGAATGGGATATAGACACGGATCCATTATCCCTAACTGAGGTTACAAAAGCTGTCAATAGTCTGAAACGAGGTAAAGCAGCGGGACCTAATGGAATGACTCAGGTGTTTAAGGACGGTGGAGACAGCTTACTGTCTGCATTAACTGAGGTACTAGGCAGCGTCTGGGAATCAGAGGAAGTCCCGTTGAATTGGTTCTTCCATATTGCTATTCATTTCGATTCATATCTCTGTTTTGAACCTCTTTTTACTCTCTTCTCTTGCTTTGTGTGCTAAGTGGCGATTCGAACTGCTGCACATCGATGTAAAGTTATACGTTGAAACCAGTCAGTTAAAGAATCCATTTGTTGTCAGTTCACTATTTATTGCATTCAAATGACCGGTTAGGTGAGACATAATACGGAAACCTCTATCAAACATCTACTTAATTTTATTTTACATCTAGCCTAGCTCTTCAGTCCACTATATTTGAATTATTTAGTTACGCATTAATACATATCAATTTATTTCATTGGTGATACTTAAAAGAGGACTTTCAGCAACCTAGTACACCAGCATTTGAAGTCCATGACTTCAATATAATACCCAGTATCCATTATCACCTTGAAATAACTTTCCAACTGATTTGTTTTGTTAACTACCCCTCGTGAGAAGTTCTGAATTCTGGAATAAGGGTGTTTTAGTTATACTTTCTTTCCTTTGCTTCAAGTTATGAAGTTTCACTGGTCTTTCTCTAAGAAGGTTAAGTTGCTAACCTCACATCCAAGTTCTCATTTTTACCAAGCTTACTAGGTAAAGTTTAAGATTGCGTCGGCTGGCATTAGAAGTCCGACAACGTAAGGGATTACCAACCATACTATGGATTCTTTATGAACTGCGTAAAACGAAATGTTTGAATCTGTCTTGATGGACACATTAGTACAGACATTGCTAGTGCTACTCTATCTCGATACTTCAATATTACTTCTCACGTTGACAGACTACTCTGATGATTATTTCATAAGCTTTGGAGGAATAAAAATAGTGAAAATCATAGTAAAGAGATGTACAAGATTGACACTGCTTACTGTAACATTTCAGGGGAATATATACACTTGATTATACGGCTACCAATGTATTTAAGACTACACAAGATGTGTTTAGTACTAGTGCTTTACTTCTACTTGCCCATCCTTCACTAATCTTCAACAAAACTCGGTATGCCGAGTGAGCCAAGAAAGACTTGGTTGATTGTGTTGCAATAATATTCATATAAGAAACCGTAGGAATTACAATTAATATGTATCAGTACCCGGTCGATGACTGCTACCTTGCCGTGGTAGTCGGGCTTGAATACCGCAGTGACCCAACAAAATGAACTGGCTGGGACTCATATCCCTGAAGGTCCTACCATGTCAGGAAGGTTGTTCGGATAGCGGTTAGACTAAAAGCATTTACCATGGGGTACATGGGCTCCAGAATCCAATCGGATCAAATGGCGTATGAACCCATATGGGTCACCGGCAGCCATGGGAATGCAGCTCCTAACGCTGCTCCGCTGTCTTGCGGATTAGACTCCAAGTCAAAGGCTCGGGGGGTGGTCCCTTAATAAAACCACCTGTTTCGGTCTGGGCACCCGGGCAGTATCTCAGCCCTCACACAACAAATGAAATTCAATGTGGCGCATCTTTTTTGGTGCCATATTGTACCAAGTTTTTTTCTGCGTTTAAATAAATAATTTTCTACGCACCAGTGGGTGCGGCTTCAATGTCCGCTGAGTACACTGAGCTTAGGCATTTATCGCGCACTTACCGATTTGTCTCCTAGTTACTTGCTTCACATTTTCCACTGTTGATTACCACTCTTGGTAGGTATCTCAGATGTCTTCATACTTGAAGTACCGTAAAATCAACCTTTCAACACCACTACTTCTTAGAAATAATTTTAGCCAAGTTGTGACATCAGTTGTATTGTACTATACTGTGATGAGGCCGTTTCTATTACTAAAATAAATGAACTATAGGACTTGTCCGTGTAATTACAAAGAATTCATATTGCAACATTGTCTATATATATATATATATATATATATATATATATATATATATATATATATATATAAACTGCCTTATCGTTTGTGCCAAAAAGGCAATGGGTGTCATACACTGCAACCACTTCTGTCACCGACAATATAATAAATACCACGAATCTTTGATTAAATATCTCTACTTTCGTCAACACTTTGTTAACTAGTGCAGAAATGTTAACCAAACTAGATAAAAAAAGCAGAAACAGTCTGTCGTTTAAACGCAAAAAGCTGTAAATTCACAAATTATTAAAGCAAGAATTACGTATATCAGTTGTTTCTAAATATGTGAACTGTCAAAGAATTCCACAGACACCACAGTGTTTTGACTGTACTGATTCTTCACTCGTAGAAATCTTTCAATCAATCAAATTAGGCAGTTAGATAAACTCTGTCTTTTCCCACTGTACAGCACCAATTACAAAGAAATCCTGTTTCCCGACATTGATGAAGGACACAGTGTTAACTGAAATAGGTAATATAAATTACTTAAAGTGTAATTTACTTGCTTGCAAGACTTGATATGCGAAAAGCCGGATGTTGCACACAAATTAATTTTACAAACACTAAATGGAAGGAATTAATTGGAAAACTTTTATGTTTTACAGCCATTAATTTATCAAACTGTGAGATATGCTCAGTGCATGAATTATTTAATGCACTGCAATTTCTTTCTCCTCAACACCCATCCTTACCAATGTTCCAAGACCAGTAGGTATGTCAGGATGCAATCTCTTCATTTCTTCTAGCAGGATTCGTATGTATCATTCTAAGCCTGCATCTATATATGACATTGCGGATGTAAACCAATACAAAATGTTCTCTCCTGTCAATGTCAAATGTATGACAACGGCGGTGGGCATACACGTGTTGTCTGAGGTAGCCTGTTGCATTGGTTCCGTTCGACAGGGCTTTGTAAGGTATTCTGTTTATATTAATACCAAACTACCACCTTACCTGCTAGCTGTCGCTGCTTACACTTCAAATTGTATTTCTCCAACCTTCAGTGGAATGCGAACTTGTATCACCGTAGGTCAAAGCCAACTTTCGATGCATCGTAAAAAGTTAGTACCGACGTGCATTTACGTAGTCTTATTCTTTTCGTGGGCTTGTAAGCTCTGAAATCAACTGACGGTTTGTTGTTGTGTACTTTAAATCATAGCTTCGTACTTGATGACACAGAACTGTCAAAACTCATGTTACCTGAAAATAAAAGGGATAATTATGTCAACAAATGGATCTTTTGAGTCAATAAATGCTAACATTTAAGCCTAACATGGACATTAAAATACACTGTACCATGCAATCAAGCTTCTGAGAGCTGGAAAAGCAGCCGGACCAGATGGAATACCCCCTGGAGCACTGAAAGCGAACCCAGAGACGACAGCAGATATGCTGACTCCATTATTACAAAAGGCCTGGAAGGAGGGAAAGGTCCCTACTGACTGGAGGAATGGTTACCTCGTGAAACTACCAAAGAAGGGCGACTTAGAACTCTGCAAGAACTGGCGAGGAGTCATGCTCCTATCGACGCCAAGTAAAATCCTGGGTCGAATCATCCTGGAGAGAATAAAGGATGCACTGGATACAGAACTCCAACCAGAACAAGCTGGATTCAGGAAAGGCAAATCATGTACTGACCAAATCGCAACTCTACGCATCGTCATCGAACAAAGCATGGAATGGCAATCAAACCTCTACCTCAACTTTATAGACTTTGAGAAGGCCTTCGATAGCGTTGACCACAAAGTAATTTGGAAATTACTCGAGTACTATGGCGTACCCCAAATATTCATCAAGCTTATTCAACAGCTGTACGACAACGGCACCTGCCAAGTGATCCACAACGGAAGACTCAGCGAGGCGTTTGGAGTAAACACAGGAGTCAGACAAGGGTGCTTATTATCACCAATGATACTCCTAATTGTGGTGGACTGACTGGATTATGCGTCAGACAGTGGGAAACGAGAAGACAAGGATATCCTGGACCGACGTGAAGAACCTAGAAGATCTGGATTCCGCGCGTGGATGAGTTATGTTTGATGTCATTGTCACAAAATCGAAGACTTACAAGCGAAAACCGACAAACTGGTTGAAGAAGCAGCCAGAGAAGACAGGACTCCAGGTGAACATAGACAAGACGGAGGTGACGAAAATAACCAACCAACAACAACAGTAACATCCAGCGCCAATAACCATCAACGGAAGGGATTTGAAAGAGGTTACTTCATTCACTTACTTATCTAGCATTGAGCATTGTCTCAACTATAGGCAGTCGGAACGGACGAGGATGTCAAATACAGCGAGAATCGGGAAGGCGAGCAAGAAACACATTTATCAACCTGAAACCAATTTGGAAATCTTCGTCACTCGGCATCAACAACAAAATTCAGTCGGATTTTCAATACAAACGTCAAGTCAGTCAGCTCTTCTACACGGATCAGAAACTTGGCTGGCGGGTCACATAGAATATTTCCAACAGGTTGCAGGCCTTTATCAACAACTGTCTTCGCTGGATGTATACTGAAGATCAGATGGCCGGAAAGAATCACCAACAAGAAACTATGGGCACTAACAAACAAAACAAGAACCAATCGCCAGCCAACAAATATGCAGGAGAAAGTGGAGATAGATGGATTGGACACTCGCTGAGAAGGCCGCCGCTGGGTGATATCGTGCGCGCATCAGGCCATTGCTCGAGTGGAACCAGGCCGAAAGGGAAGCGACGAGTGGGACATCAGTGCAAGGGTGACATGGAGGAGATCGTGTGAAGAGGAGTTGAAAGAGCATGGACTAACATGAATGCAGGTGAAAAGCACATCAGAAGTGGCAAGTGGAGACGTGCAGCTGAAGCCCTATGTTGCACTAGGAACCCAAGGGAACAATAATAATAATAATCCCATGAGTCACAGCAGAAACAGCACTGGTAATGCTGAATAATTATGCAAACTGTAAAAACGCCGGTGACAATAAAGAATACATACCTCAGCCCAATGACGAGCAAACCAATCACATCCTTCTAGATAAAAAGTGGAATTTATAGTATAAAAATTATATTGACAGGATAAATCTAATAGAGATGAATTATACAGGGTATACGTCTCTAATATGCTGCAGGAATATATCCCAGTTCCTCATGGGAGTGGTTACAGAAATATCAAACCAATATCGATACAAAAATTCATCTAAATAATTGTATATCACAATGTCTTCCGAGTCGCTTTCCATTGTAATCCGTCTTTTTAAGTAGGCGAAAAACCCCACGATGGAATTTTTACGAGTACCAGTTATAGGATTCACTAATTCCGATGAACGATTGAATTTTTTATGAATATAGCCTAAAGACGATAACTGTGAATATCCTTCCCACTCAACTGTATGGATGGTGGTACCTGGGAGCACCAGTCGTTGTATTATTGGTATTAAAACATCAGCACTTCTGTTTGGGATGGGTTTTACTAACCCTTTTCGCAGATTCGTATCGTAAAGTCCCAGTACCATAACACTGTTCACCACTCCTTCACTTCGATCCATTTGTAGTTTGATAAATGTTTCGTTAATTTGAACGACGACACCAATTCCACCTAGTGCACAAGTAATCTCATTGATCTTTTGTGAGGCGATTTCCTGACAATGCTGATAACACTGCACTGTTGACTTCATAGTATTCTCTGTTTCTGCAGATGTAGCAGATACTGGTACTTTCAATACCCAATAGTGGCAAATACACAGTATTTTAGTAAGGGAAAGTTTAGATTTCGAGAAGAAAGTATCTAAAAAATTACCATAATGTACAACTTACCAACCCTTACAGACTTTGTGCAATCACACTGATTGCATCTGAATGCATAGCCATCAATTGCTTGGCAATACTTTTGAAGAGTCATATCCCCTCCGCATGTGCATGTCTTTGTCTTCCCTATCAACCCATTTTCCACACAGTAATTGAAAACCAAATCAGGGTGAAATTTGCAGCGAAGCTGATGAACAGCATTCATTTACAACGTTGAGCTCTAATTAATGCAAACTGAAAGTGTGAATACGGACGGATTGTTCCAGAGCGCCAATTGTGATGCATTAAAACATATCACTTTCCGAAAAGTGGATTAAGATGTAATGATCATAGGATGCTTAAATTGAATCGAAACTAATTGAAATAATATATTTAATCCATATATTGATAATAGCTACTGAAGCATCCGTGTAACGCAGTCACGGTATATTGTTAGCTCCCAGTAGTTGATATTGTAGTCAATGAAGGTACGTGTCGACAATGGATAGTGGCTCACTGCTTGTGGAGAGGCTGGATACTTGAGCGGTAGATTTTTGTGTGCGTACACTTGCTTCTAAACAGAACGCCATAGTGTACAACATGCCAGACAATGAGCCCGTGAGGTCGATTCAGCACTCTTTGTTTAGAGCTGCAAACCTCTTAATTACATCCTGTCAGCGTATTCGACTAAATAAAAAAGGAGTCAAACCGCACGTCCCCCATACTTTTCAAGTTTTAAAGCTGTATAATAGCTGAAAAAATTAGGAAATCTGGGGACAATTTCACCTCCGCTACAAAATTCAAAAATGGTTAAATGGTCTCCGACAAAACCTCCAAACAACAACTTGTAGCTAAGAACACCTTAGATACAATCACGCCTATACCAAAAATCATGAATAACGTCAGTGACGTGATAGTGAAGGACACTGTAGCACAAAGTGACACTCGCATTGTACAAACGTGAACAAACGACACATAAAGGTGAAGTGAAACGCAAAAGGAGTAGTAGCACTGGAATAGGTCTCGAATTTCATAAGAACACTCCTAGGAAACCTGCCAACCCCACACATAAAGCAGACATGGATGCTCCCACTACCTGCGAATATTGGATGATCACAATGCACCCAAGGCCAAGCAAGATAGTCTCACTGTAAAAGCCGAAATAAATTCCCTAAAAACCAAGATCTTTCCACAGGCATCCGTACACCTCCTTTGTGACAAGCCCAACAAACAGCACGTAAGTACGCACGCATTGTGGCAGGTCCTATGAAGGACATCAAACACGTGAGTAGAAGTGCTCTTCTCCGAGCTAACCATAATAGACAAACTCTAGGTGACAGACTACATGAGGTGAAAATTAACAGCAAACGTAGCTTTATCAACACAAAATCACACTAGCAGACACGCAAGGGGCGCCGAGTTGATTAAACAGCAAAGTGAGACCTACGACTTTCGTAATAGCCAAGGTTGTAATACGCCCATAGGCACATATAACCTGAGAGCGGGAACACATGGGCGGCCAAAAGAAACACTACTAGGTACTATATGAACGGAAATGCATTCTCGAACTATGGTGGTAGTTACATAAACCCCCTTTGGCATAACGGGAATAGATCAGCTGACGGTCCTTCTATGTACATGGACGAAATGAGTCAACAAATGTACGACTACTAAAGACTTAGCACGCACTACCCTCGAAACAACCTAAAAATTGGGTACTTCGGCCTTGTAAATTACAATCTGAACTGTGGAACAGACTATCTAATACCGAAAAATGATTGCAGACACGCACGCAATGGTGCCGGAAACTAATATATACAACAGGATTATTTTCGGCTGCAGCAAACGATAGTCCCCCTCTCTGCACATTTTGTTCAGGGAACATCGACACGCGGACACTGTCTCATCTGAGAATCTCTCCGAACATAATACAGGCAACAAAATAAATTCCCTTTTGCAGCTTGAGATACATGGAACGGCCAACACTGGCCCTAGTAACTAAAACTTGGCTAACTAATGATAAACCTGACGCAAAGCTGATAACTGATAACCATGATATCCACAGGAATGATGGAGTGGACAAGAGAGGAGGTGGGTGTCTAATATTTGCTTCTAAATCCACTGACTCCAATACTTTTACAAACCTCACTATCGAAAAACTCCCCTAATCTAAGTTGATAAGCGTCCACACGAATGAAAATAAAATTCTGGTGGGATGTATATACAGGGTCCCTAACAGCCCAAAACGACTGATACGGTTATCGGAGAAACACTAGAGAGTGAAACTACGTAGAAATTCAACTAGAAACTAGTTTGTGGCGATTTCAGCCTCCCCGGAGTAAATTGTAATACCTGCACTGGAATGAGAACCCACGAGGAGCTCATAGAAGCTATACATGTAGAAGGATGGAAGCAGAGCCTCCCAACACCACTCAAAAATATTCTCGACGTAGTCCTCTGCCACAAATAGAGCCGATCTCGGTAGAGGTGGGGGTAAACTTGACAGTAGTGATCACAACATGCTGTACTCCACCCTACCTCCTCAACTAAGGGGTAAACACACACCTAAAATTCCCTGGTTTACTATCAGTGTGGTGACTATAGAAATGCTGACTGGGAATTCCTACCATCGCCCTTGAGAAGCTTTGACTGGAGTGAATACTTAACCAATAATAACTTAGAAATAACACTTAATGCATTCTACAAGGAAGTCAGTTCCGTGAGAGACAAAATCACACCCCTTAAATCTGCGCTAAAGACACCAACTCTATTCATGGACCACAAAGCGTGATTAAAACTAAGGAAACTGTAAAGAAAATTTTATTTATGTGGAAAGTTTAGTGCATTACACCGGATACATGAAACATGAAAATCTTGAGGAGAAACACAACATGAAGGCACAACTCCTGAGAAAATAAAGCCTTAAAGGGGAATCTCTAAAACTCGGGAACTCTGCAACATCTTGCAAAAACGACTGACGAATGGTAAAGACAACAATGTTAGCCACTTGGAACTGGAAGGTATAATTTATGATCCTCAGGTTATCAGTGAACTCTTTAGCCAGCGGTTCTCCGATGAGACCAAAACGCATCCGTCCCGAATTCTTGACATAACCTGAGAAAATAACTACAAGTTAGTTGAAATAAACTTTAATATACAAAATATAGCATCAGCGGTAAAGACAATAAAAGCTAACAGTATTGTGGGATAGGTGATGTGCCATCTGTCATGTACAAAAACGGTGGTGCGTATATAATAGCATTATTACCTGGAATATTTCCTATCTCACTACTGACTGGGATCTATCCTGAAATCTGGAAAAATACGTATATATTACCCAAGCATAAAGGAGGGGCCAAAACGAATGCATGCAATTATAGGCCTACCAATATAACACCTGTCATATCACGGAGACGCAGAAAGTAGTCAAAGACCAAATATCAGACTACTCTGTAAAACATAAACTGATCAACCAGTCACAGTACGGATTCCTCAAAAAAAGATCTTCCGTAATTTTCCAATTGGACATTCCAAACGAAGTCACCTATAGAAGAGATAAGAGAAAAGTAGTAATTATCTTTGTCAACGTAGTTGAAGATTGAGCGATCAAATTATGGTTGTTTGCTGAAAACCATCTCCATATTTTTCGCGGGAGTCATCAATCCAGCGTCTCATCTTTCGCTGTTCGTTGGATGACAGAAAACTATCAGAAGTATTATTGTGATTTATTGTTATAAAATTTATTCTAAGACCTTGTGTATAATAACCTTATTGTTGGTTACATATTGGCGTAAGAATGAGGGATTCTCGAGTCGCCAATCTGTGTTGTGGATTTTCGCGTTGGTTATTACAGATTGTTTCTGAAAGTCTTCCAAGGATAGCGTGAGGTCCAGTGTAGTAAGACCTGGATATTGACAATCCTCTATTTCGTTATAAGGAGAGCCTTCGACAGAGTTCCGCATAGTCTGCTAGTCAGCAGGTTATGCTGACTAGGGATGCGCACCCCCTTCACAACTGGATAAAGTCGTCTCTCTGTGACAGGAATCAAGAAACGAAAGTTGGATTGATGACCTCCAGGCCTAGACCGATCAGCAGTAGAGTCATAAATGGGAGTTTATTGGCCCCCCTCCCTTTCATTGCATGCATAAACAGTGCGTCGGTAGCACAGTGGTTAGGACTCCCGCCGACCATGCACATGGTCTGAGGCTCGATCCCCTGCCGATGCACACCTGATATCTATGGTCGGCCTGCAAAACTTGGGCTACGGATATCACATGCTGAAAATTCCAAACTTGTACCAAAAATACAGTATGGAATCAAGGTGTTATCAAAAAATATGTGGGTGCTTTACTATAGGCAAACCGATAATGTGTGCAGATGACTTAAAAGCGGCCTTTGCATGCACAAATACGAACTCTATACGTGAAAAATTAATAAAAATGGACCGATGGCGTGGCACTCGGAGACTCGAGTTTGATGTTGAAAAGTGTGGCTGGCTCTGCATAAGCTGTTCCAACCTAGAAGTCGACCTGGCTGTTCAAGGACACAAAATACCTGGACTCAAGTCTATACTAGACCTAGGACTGAAATATTCACATAATCAATCATTTTCAGAGCATATCTCGAAACAAGTATCGAAGTCACGCAGGCTTACTGGTTTCCTACTCAGAAACTTCCACAGAAGTGAATCCTGTTTACTACTGTACAAGGTTTGTGTGCGCCCACTCCTAGGTTACTGCTCATTCATATTTAGTAGTACATTCATGGAAGACAAACTGAAAATAGAAGGAGTACAGAGGTGCTTCATGCTAAAAGTACTTGGAACCGAAAATGGCACAAAATACTCCATTAGATGTGAAATCCTAGGACTAGAAACACCATGATTAAGACGACTGCGACTAAATATGGTATACTTCTACAACCTTCTTAACCACATAGTGTTTACCCTTGCTAATTGTACTCGGTCTTCAGAAGGCTCTGGATGTAAACTTAGACATACTTTAGGTACAGTGGCTATAGAACAATGTAAAACGGCTACCAAGAAAAATTTTTCCTGATCAGGTGTGTCAAAATCTGGAAGAAACTACCCGAGGAAATGCGACTAGCAAGCATATTGGCCTCCCTTGAAAAGGCACTTAATGACACACTAAGTGAGTTTGCAATTGATACCAGTGCTAATTCCCATGTAAGAGTTTCACAAATCATTATTATTGTTGTATTCTTTAA